TGGTGGTGCACCCCTGTAATCCCAGCACTCAGGAGGCTGAGGCAGGAAGATCACCATGAGTTTGAGGCTAGCCTGAGCTACATGTAAGACCTTGTCTCAAAAAAACAAAAACTAAAATACAGACGCAGAGACAGCAGAGATGGTGGAATTGTTAGACCAGCATTTAAATCAACCATAACTGTTATGACCTGAGTACGGTCTGTCCCCATCAAAACACATGCTGAGGTTCAGGTCCAGTGGGGTGGTGTTGAGAGGTGGTGGTGCCTTAAGGAGGAGTCTGGGGCCAGACTTGAGGGAGTAACACAGTTCCCGGGAACATGGGTCATTACCAGGGCAGTTTGGTAAGAGGCAAACCTGGCCTGATCCACAATGCTCCACTGTGCACACATCAGCTTCCTTTCTGCTTTCCACACGAATGGGGCAGCAGTGGCTCTTACCAGAAGTTGGGCAGATGCTCATGGACCTCCAGAACTGCAAGGTCAACAAATTATTTTTGGAGACCGTATCTTACTATGCAGTCCAGACTGGAACTCACAGTAATCCTCCTACCGTATCTTACTATGCAGTCCAGACTGGAACTCACAGTAATCCTCCTGCCTCAGCCTCCCAAGCACTAGAATTACAGGTATGTGTCACCATCCTGGTTTATTTTCTTTATTTTGGTACAGGGTCTTGCTAAGTTGCCCAGGCTGACCTCAAATTTGCAATCCTCCTGCTTCAGCCTCTGAGTAGCTGGGATTAGAGGTAGGTGCCACCATGCCTGGCTAAGCCTCAAATGCAAGGCCCTGGGTTTGATCCCTTGGTTTCAATCCCCATTGAAGAGGAGAAGGAAAAGAAGAAAATGAGGACAAGGGCCAGGGATTTAGCTCAGAGGCACTGCATCTGCCTCACAAGCACAAGGTCCTGAGTCCGATCCCCAGTACCAAAACAAAAAAGGAAAATGAGGACAAAGTGACACCATGATATATATGCTAAGGCAGCAATGGCAAACCTTTTAGAGCTTTCAATGATACAAAGAGCCTGCTGTGGCAAATGTGCCATAGGTTCACCACCACTGTGCTAAGGGCTCTAATGGAGACAGTGGCATTTTGCAAGAAGAGACAGGTAGTATAAGCAGAATATAGAACCATTAAGAAAAATCACAAGAGAATGTTAAGGGAAAAAAGACGTTAACAGAAATAAAGAATTCCTTTTTACATTCTAAATATTACACAAAGTATAACATACATACACCAAAGAAAAGGAACAGAATAACTGAAACAATGCCTGAAATTTTCCTCCAATTAATAACACCAAACAGATCCAGAAAGCTCAAGAAAATATTTAGTGGGATAAATATCAAAAAACACACATATAGGGGCCAGGGATTTAGCTCAGTGGTTTCGCCACCTGCTGCACAAGCGCAAGGACCCGAGTTCAATCGCTGGTACAAAAAAAAAACACACATATAGCCATAGGCAGTAGTACACATCTGTATTTCAGCACTCAGGAGGCTGAGGCAGGGGGATCACCATGAGTTCAAGGCCAGCCTGAGCAACATAGGAGACTTTGACTTTAAAAAAAAGAAAAAAAAGGACATATTATAGATGTAACATGTTCAAAATGTAGGGGGAAAAAAATCAAAGAGACAAAAAACAGTGAAAGAAGCCAGCAGTTAAAAAACACCTTAGTGGGCTACGGATGTAGCTCAGCGGCACCGCGCCTGCCTGGCAAGTGCAAAGTCCTGAGTTCGATTCCCAGTACAGGGGTGGTAGGGACACCTGAGTATAAAGAACAAGGATGGGTTTAATTTGTACTTATTTTCAGAAACCAGGGGGCGGGGATTTAGCTCAGTGGTTCTGCTGCTTGCCTCACAAGTGCAAGGTCCCGTGTTCAATCCCTGGTACCAAAACAAACAAACAAACAAACCCAGAAATCATGCAAATGAGAAGAGTACAGTAAAATATTTAATGTAGCTAAGGGGAAAAAAATATCCATTTAGAATTCTGTATCCAACAAAAATATCCCTTTAAATAAGGGAGAAGCCTGGCGTAGTGGGGCACACCTGTAATTCCAAGTACTCAGGAGGCTGAGGTAGGAGGACTGCAAGTTTGAGGCCAGCCTGGGCAATATACCAAGATCCTATCTCAAAACAAAAATTGAAATAAAAAAGAAAGAGGAGAAGGGGGTGGAGAGCTGAAGACACGGGTGAGTTACAGATTGCTTGCCTAGTATATGTGAAGTCCCCGACTCAATCCTCAGCACCACAAACAATAAAAATACAAAGATCCAGCAGGCAGAAAACCAGTAAAGACACAGTTGAATTGAAGAGCACCATCAAAGAAATGGGTGTCATGGAAACCCATAGAATACTTTTAACTGTAGCAACCCTTCTTAAATTCACAGGAAACATTCAACATGATACACTGTACTGTGAGACAAAAACAGTTTTCAAAAAAACAGAAAAAACAGGGCCAGGGATTTAGCTCAGTGGTACCATGACTGCCTCGAAAGCACAAGTGCAAGGTCCTGAGTTCGATCTCTGGTGCCTAAAATGGAAAAAACAAATCATACAAAATATGCTCTCTTACTACAATGGCATCCATCTAGCCCTCAATAGCAGGAAAACAGCTGCAAAATCCCCAAACACTTGGAGATCAAATGACACACAGCTCAAAAGAGAAATACCAAGAGCAATGAAAAGTTACTTCAGGGGAGGGGAAAGGAAGGAGGGGAAGAGAAAAAAATAAATAAAAGGAAAAAATGGAAACAAAGCTTTTGTAAATAAGTAAGGGAATGGGTTGAAAGGGGAGAGGAGTGGGAAAAAAAGAAGAATCACGATATATTACATACAGGTACAAATTCTCTATGATGAATGTGATCATTATGTGTATCTAAAATGTACCAATAAAATTAATTTTAAAAAAAGAAAAAGATGTTATTTCAAACTAAAAAATATTAAAATACAACTCATCAAAATTTGTGGGAAGCCACAAAGGAAGTGCCCAGAGGGAAATACACATCATGGGACACATACACTAGAAAGGAAGTCCTATAATCAATAATCTAAGCATCAATATTAGGAAGAAAAAACAAAACACACAAAAAAAGCAAATTAAACCCAAACAAAGTACAAAACAGGAATATTTTAAAAGAGAAATTAAATAAAATCAAAAGCTGCTTCTTTGAAAATATCATTATATTTGATAAGTATAAAGCAAAGCTAATTGACAAAGATATCACAAATGCAAATGGAAAAGCTATTGACAAAATCCATTAGGCATGTGACAGGAAACTGAGAATAGAGAATTCTTCTTGAAAAGCAACATATATGAGAACCCCACAGCTAAAATCATAACCAATAGTAAGAAACTGTATGTTTTACTGGTAAAATGAGGAATTAGACAAAGATGTCTCTGCCTATCACTCCTTTTCAACAGGCCAGTGAAAGTATAATTAATGCAAGAAGAAAAGGAACAAATAAGATAAACAGATTGGGAAGGAAGAAATGAAAATGTCCTTGTTGTCTATAACAAGCTATACAGAATCTCAAAGAACACAAACTCCTGGAACCCGAGGAAACAAAACAGTCAGGTTGAAGGACACAATGTTTCAGGATACAAAGGATACTTTTGTCTACTACACAGACCTCAGTTGCTTTTCTTTTTTTATAGATTCACACCCATACAGTAAAAGTGATCTCTGACAAACGATCAAAGGCCATTCAATGGAAAAAGACAGTCATTTCAACAATCAGTTCTGGAAAAACTGGACAGCAAAAAAAGAAAAGAAAAAAGCAATAAACACGAATCTAGACAGATTTCACTTACACCTTATACAAAAATTTTAAAAAGGATCATAGATCTATCAAAATGCAAAATGCAAAATTATAGAACACCTAAAAATAACGGGAAAAAACATTCATGTGATCTTGGATTTACTTACTGCAAGCTTTTAGATACAAGTTAAGATCCATAAAGAAAAAAAAAAAAGTTTAACTAAAATGAAAAACTCCTGCTTTATGAAGATTCTATGTTAAGAGAATAAAATAAGAACCAAGAAGATTTTCTTGTGGGTGCTTGAGAGGGGCAGCAGGATGAATTGTATTCTTTAACCAAAGCGTGAGAGTCTCTCACACATGCACTTGTGTAAGCTTTTTTCCCCCTAGTATTTGTATATCTTGGCTGAATGTCCTTTGAGGACGATGTTATTCATGAAATGTCACACAGTACCTGTGCTCCTGGAGGAGAAAGGTGGATGAGGTTTAGGTTTTGCCTGCAAAGACGACGTTAAACACCAAGGTAGGAAACCGGGGAGGGTTAGTGCTAACCTCGTGCTGTGCTAGAGGGTGGATCACCCAGGAAAGTTTGCAAAGCACAACTTCGATCCAGAGGAATTTCCAGGATGCAGTTGCTCGGAAAAGGCAATGGACGGAGAGGCACAAGGACTTTATACGACGAACCTCTGGATGCTTGTTCTGTGCCTTCCTCTCATAAAAACATCCACAAGTGATCTAATTCTTTCATTAAATCCATCTGTGCAGAATGTTAATGAAAATACGGCATCCGGCTGGAATGCACCATCCTGGAGAAACAGCTGATAAATGATGCTTGTCCAAAAGAGGAGGAAGCTGCATTTGGGGATGTGGGAAGGGATCTAGAAATCTAGGGATTACTGCGAGCCCCGGAAGGGGCGAGCTCGGATGCAGGGCCCTGAATCTGAGACCCCGCCTCCATACGTCTGTAAACTCTGGGGGGAAAGGGGCGACCCCTACAGAGAAAGGAAGGCGTGGGGACTCCACAGACCACAGCTCCAGCCATGCACGAATCCCACGTCCGAGTCGGGGTCCCGGTGACTCCCGGGGTCCCAGGTGCCGGCCCAGACCCGCCCACGGCCAGAGAGGACCGAGGACCGAGCGGCGGCCCAGACTCATGAGCTGACTCGGGGGGCCCAGGTCCCACCAGATTCACCTCCGGCCTGCTCCTACCACACCCTGCGCCCCTCACCTCCCCGGCACTCACCATCTCCGGGCTTCCTCCGGGCGCCTCTCGCGGCCTCGCAGTCCCGGGGCCCCCTGAGGTCCTCCAGTGGCAGAGAGACAAGAGGGGAAGAGCGGCCGGAGCGTAGCTTCCTCTACGGGGATCGGCGGTGCCGAACAGTCCCCGCCCCGCCACACACACACACACACACACACACACACACACACACACACACACACACACACACACCCCTTTCTGACGGGGTCTCTGATTGGATAGTTCACCCGGACACGCCCCCCATTTTCGCCTGAGTGACAGCGGAGCGGAAAGATGCTTCCTGAGCCCTCCCTAAAATAGCGGGCACCAGAAATCTGTAGCTGCTGTGGGCGTTGGCGTTGCAACAGAACTTGCTGTAAACCAAGAGTTGGGTGTTGGTGTCTGCCCGCAGCTTCTTCTGAATGCCGGTGCACAAGCGTGCACAGGCAATTCCTAATTCAGTTTCTACATAAAGTGAGGCCATTTGTCCACTGCAAGAGACATCCAAACCAGAAAGGGGAGGCTCAGATGTCCTCCTGGCTTGCATAAGGCGGCGACTCTTCTTTACGAATAATAAAAAGTGACCTCGGCACAGCTGATTGATTCCACCAGTTGACAAAGCTGAGCCTATCACCGACCCCTTTCTCACCGCCCACGGTCCCTACAGCTGGCACTGGACCTGTGGGGGTTGAACCCCCAAGTCCTAACCTGGGCGGAGAAACTTACCTCAACTAAGAAATACATTCGTGAAAACTGTGAGCTGTACATTTCGCACTGAAAGGATACTTACTTTGGATCAGTTTTTCACTGCGTTCCTAGAGAACTTTGAAATGGAAATGGCTACGATATCCTTAAGACAATTCCTATTTTCGCTTGCATTAGAAAAAACTAAAGGTTACATAATTTTGGGATAGACCTTGAAAATCAATGTACTTAAGACACTGGATGAAAACTCCTAATGTATGCATGCATTTAAACAGTGTTGCCTGAGATGTGTACACACTACACAATGCATCCCACTGAAGTGTGGACATCAAAGGTTTTCAGTATATTCACATATATGTGCGATCAGCCTTTTTCTTTCTTTCTTTTTCATTCAAGTGATCCTCCTGCATCAACCTGCAAAGTAACTGGAACTACAGACACAGACCACAATGCCAGACACTACAGTCAACTTTAGAATATTTTTGTTACCTCAAAAAGAATTCCCTTCACACTGTAACCTATAAATATGTACAACTAAAAATTATGACTGGGAGCTATGTGTAGTGGAGCATACCTGTAATCTCACCACTCAGGAGGCTGGAGCAGCAGGATCACGAGCTTGAGGCCAGCCTAGGCCTTATAGTGAGTTCAAGGCCAACCTGAACTACATTAACAAGATCCTGTCTCTAACTAAATAAATGAATCAAACCTTCTGTCCAGTAAACAATAGCTCCCCAATTACTCCTCCTGGCAAACATAATTCTACTCTTTTTTTTTAAAGAAATCAAACTTGCTTTTTAACAAGAAAGGGAAGGGAGGGGTGTTTGGACAGATATAGGATTAGAGTGTTAGAAACACAGAGCCCTGCAAGCTAAGTTGCCTTGGGCTTCTGGGTCTCCTTGACCTGCCTCTGCAGCTGGCAGGCTATGTCCCTGCAGTCATAAACAGTGACCCACAGCTCCCAAAGCAAAGCAACCGGCATACACCAACAATTAGATGCAGCTGACCCAGCTGGCCAGCCTTCGCTGTTACCACTCTCAGGTCCCTCCTGCCCCAAGCGCCACCAGCAGGGAGACAGCCCACTCCTCCTAGCTTTCCCCACCCAGATACCACTTGTGAGGGACCTAAACTCACTACTTTGTTCTCCCTGATCCAGCAGTGATGGAGGATGAATGACAAAGAGACAAGGAGTCAGTTGAACATGTGGGCAGCCAGGGGGACTCTTGCTTCTAGTAAACAAGAGCCTCTGGCATCTGGCTCATCTTGCCTTCATTCACCCAAACATGGGTACAAGCAAAGTAAGGCAAAATTCATTTGCTTTCCAAAATCCATGAGTACATCCTCAGGTGACCAACTTAACCTCAGCTGTCTTAAATTTTCCCTAGAACCTGCAACATGTGATCACCCCCGAGTGCAGCCATTCTCCTTTCTGCTCACAGAGGTGGCCAAATAGGCCTCAATTCTCCTCTGGTCTCCCACAGTTAGGCAGACAATGGACACAGCTCGTCCCAGCAGGGCTTGGCCAGCTCCAATCCCAGAGCTCCCATGGTCAGGGCCACCCAAGCAGAGACCAGGAGCTCCAGTCTCCAAGACCACTGTGCTAAGTCTGTCATGGCCACTCTTGTTGTTGTTGTTGTTGTTATTTTGGTACTAGGGATCCAACTTGGAACCTTGCGCTTGCAAGGCAGGCAGTGGAACCACTGAGCTAAATCCCTGGCCTTGGCCACTCTTGTTTTGTTTTGTTTTGTTTTTTTCTTTGAGACAGCGACTCCTATGTAGTTCAGGCTAGTCTTGAATTCACTATGGGCCCAGGCTGGCCTCAAACTCATGGCAATCCTCCTGCCTCAGCCTCCTGAGTGCTGCAGTTACAGGTGTGTGCCAATACACTTGATCCAGCCGGTGTCAGCACCCTCACAATTCTACTATCATTAGAAATTTGGGGCCGGAGATTTAGCTCAGTGGTGCCGCTGCCTGCCTCACAAGCACAAGGTCCTGAGTTTGATCCCCGGTACCAAAAACAAGAAATTTGACTGCTCTAGGTACCTCATATAAATGAGATACTCTATATTCATTTTTTTACTAGCTTATTTCACTCAGCAAAATGTCAAGCTTTATCACCATGTAGCATACACCAGGATTTCTTTCCTTTTCTAAGGATGAATGTTTTATTTGACATTCAGTTGGCACAATCATTGCCTGATGGCCACTTGGGTTGCTTCCACTTTTTTTCTACTGTGAATAATGCTCCTGTGAACATGGATGTACAAATATATCTGTAAGTCCCTGCTTTAAATTATTTTGGGTATACACCCAACACATCTGTTGTTTTGATGAGGCTCCCCCAAAGGTCCATATGCAAAAGCTTATTTCCCAGAGTGGCTGTATTGTGAGGTACTGTAGAACTTTAAAATGTGGGAAACATGTAGAGTGGCTCACACCTAAAATCCCAGCTCCTCAGGAGGCTGAGGGAGGCAGATGACAAGTTTGAGCCTAGCCTGGACAACTTAGCAGGACCCTGTCCAAAAAAAAAAGGCTGAGGATGTAGCTCAGTGCAAAGGCCCTGGATTTAATCCACAGCACTGCAAAAAGTAAATAATAAAAAGGTGGGATCTAGTGAAAGGTCCCTAGGTCACTGGGAATAGGAGGTTATAGGGGCTGGGTCTCTGCTTTCTGGCTTGAAATGTGACTCTTTTTATTCCTCCATGAGCTCCTATCATTATATGTTCCCTTCACCAGAAGCCCAAACTAATGGGACTAATTCAGGATATAATACCGGAGATGAAATATGAAATATTATATCTCCTAACCTGTTAGCTATCTGGTATGCTTAGCTCGTGTTCACTAAAAATCAAAGAGTGGATTCTAGGAACAATGGAGGTTAACAGTAGGAAGATATTTATTAATAGGAAAGCTCCTGAGAGGCAGGAGGGGTCCCTAGTGGGTAGCTGGGGACCCCACTCTATAAGGGACTTTTATAGAGCAAAACCCATGTGGGTACAACGTAGGCCACAGCTGTAATCAACCAATAAGGTTACAAGTATAGACACTTAGGGAATAGTAGTCCAATTGGGAAGCAAGTCACATAACAAGCATGGATAGAAAAGACAAAGACTTCTAGGAAGTGGTGGGTCCAGAGGTCTCTGGTCACCCACCAGGGTGACTGATGTCTATCTACACTTCATTAGGCCCAGCGTTTGTCCTTTGAGGAAGTATGCAGGCCTGGTCCTCTTGTCTTTATCTTGAGGCCTGGTCTCCAACAGATGTGTCTCCAGCAGCAGTTGTGATGTGTTTCACCTTTGTTCTGACCCTCTCAAGGACCTAGCCCTATCTGACTGCCTGTAATATTTCTATCTCACTCAGCTGCCTATAATCGGACCACCCAGTCTTGGACATGAACCTCTAAAACCATGAGCCAAAATAAACCTCTCTTTACTTCCTAAGTAGCCAAGTTTTCATTAGAGTGACTTCAGGGTGACTAATGCAGGGCATGTGGGTTGGCAATGGAGCGTGAAGTTCTGGGTTCATCCCCAGCATCAGAAAAAAAAAAGTTAAAATAACAACAAAAAAATCCCCTAATACACACTTTAACTCTGTTTTTAATTTGGTGGGGAATCACCACACTGTTTTCCACACTGCAGTATTTTCCTACCACCAATGCCCAACAGTTCTAGTGGGTGTTTTCACTTTCCTGATAGTGTTGATTGTTTTGTTTGCTTTGGGTTTGTTAGTTGGTTGGTTGCTTCTGGTTTTTTGAGACAAGGTCTCACTATGTAGTTCAGGCTGGCCTTGAACTCACTATGTGGCCCCAGGCTGGCCTGGATCTTTCGCCAATCTTCCTGACCCATCCTCCTGAGTGCTGGATTTGTTGTTCTGTTTGTGGTGGAGGGGATGAAGCCCAGGGCTCTGTGGAAACTAGGCAAGAGCTCTACTACTGAGCCATATGCTGAGACCTGCATGTGAGTTTTCATATTAGATGAGTTTTACCTCTTATATTTAGGTCATTGGTCTATTTTGGAAAATTACTGCGTGTGGGGTGATGCAAGAGCCCAGCTTCATTCTTTTGCACATGGGTATGCAGTTGTTCCAGCACCTGGAAGGGAGGGCAGTGTTTATCGAGATGGCAGTCAGTCCTCCATCCCTGGGTTATGTGAGACAGAAATGAAGATTAAGACAGAAAGAGACACAGGGACCGAAGGGAGAGCAGCCAGCACTGTATATAAGGGAATGGGGTATGGGTAGCTCTAATTCTGAGGACAGATGGCTCCATGGCCTTTTTAAAGGGAGCAGAGGGAAAGCAGAGGGAACCCAGGCTGCCAGGTGGAAAGAATGTCTCTAAATTCTCATTTCTGGCCACCAGCCTGGGCCATTTGAATGTGGTCTTCTATTTCTAACACCCAGGCAGCAGCCTTTGCTGTTCCCATTAAAGAAGTCGATCACAGAGACACACACTATGAACCATTTGTAGGAAAATGGATGCACCTTGAGACCATAATGCTAAGTGAAATAAACTAGGCCCAGAAAGTTGAATATCACACAGTTTCTCTTACATAAGAAACCTGAAATATAAATAACTTAAAGAGAAAAATAAGAGATAGATGATAGGAAACAAGGAGATAGATTTTGTGGAGATGGGAAGGGATCTGGAGATGGGGGAGATGAAATAACAGGAAAGAAAAGTAAAGAGGATCCAGTTGCAAAGTATATATGCACCAATTCCCATGATGATGCTATTTATTATAAACACATACTAATACAAAAGACCACATATTATGTAATTCCATTCATATGAAAGTCTAGAATAGGGAAATCTAGTCCCATAAAAGTAGATTTGTGAATGCCTAGGAAAGGGACCTGAAGGAGAAAGATATAAAGACAGATGAGTACAGGTGTTTCTTTTTTTTTTTTTTTTTTTTTTTTGCGGGTACCAGGGATTGAACTCAGGACCTTGAACTTACAAGGCAGGCAAGGTGCCACTGAGCTAAATCCCTAGCCCTCAGGTGTTTCTTTTAAAGGTGCGAAAAATGCTCAGAGACAACTGACCATAGTAATTATTGTACATATTTATGAACATAATGAACACTGAATTGTACACTTTCAAAGGATGCATTGTATAGTACGTATTTTTCTCAATATTAGTTGTCCCAACATATAAATAAATGCATTAGGAATTTTGATACAACTTGTTAAACATAGTAAGATCTTCTAGCTGCATCCCAGGTGTGTGTAAGCTTTTCATGTTAACAGAAAACCAGAGCCATGTTGAAGATGCTGAAGATAGATTCTATTCAAGAAAGTACTGCAATAGGGAAAGAAAGACTCCAGTATAGAATTAGGCTCAATTCCAAATGCAACTAAAAAAAGAGAGTTTCACAGTCAAGAAACACATTGGATCAGATACCAAAGTTGGAGATTTCTCCTGAAACCAACTTAGCAGGAGTCCGCTAAAATGGACTCCATAAGGAAGAACAGGGGTGGGTGGCCATTGTTCGAGAAAGGGGTTAGGGAAGCCTGTGTAAAGTCTGGGAAAGTAAACAATTGTGACTTCCATGCCTGAAAATAGGGATGTAATTCCCTTAGGGATAGCATAGCTACTTACATTGAAAATGACTTAGGGGAGTCCGGGGATTTAGCTCTGTGGTTCAGGTGCCTGCCTCGAAAGCGCAAGGACCCAAGTTCGATCCCCTGTACCAAAAATAAATAAATAAATTTAAATTTAAATTAAAAAATGACTAAGGGGACCTGGGGTGTTAACTCAGTGCTAGAACCATTGCCTAGCATGCACGGAACCCTGGGTAGGGAGGTGGGGATTGGGGGGCGGTCAAAAGCTGATCTGAAATAAATTCCTTTCCAGTGTGAAATACAAACCTCACAGTTTTATCTCACAGCTTGAAGTTAACTTGAGAAGCGCTTCTGCCTGGGTTAGGGCTGGGGGGGGGGCACTCCCACCAAGTTCCATCCCCAGCCTTTGTTAAGTCATTCAATTACCCAGGCTGGGCTCCAACTTGCAGTCCTCCTGCCTCAGCCTCCCAGAGTGCTGAGATTACAGGCGTGTGTTACCATGCTGGGCTATGATGAGATCGCTTTTAAGCATCTGCGTTAAGGGTTTGACGAGTGGCCTTCCAGCCTTAGGCCAGGATGCTGACCACTGGGGGAACATCTGAGCCCTCTGCTTCAGTTTAGCTTCACCTGGGGACCCTTTGGCTCTGCATTTCCTCCTCCCAGGGTCGCTTATGAAGGGCCTCGATCTGGAAATTGAGTCTGAAATTACCTACGCACACCCATGTCCCCTTCCACTATGTTCTGCAGGCCCCAGTGTCTGGCCTGAAGGATGGGAAAAAACTGGATTAACCGTAAAGCTCGCAAGCGGAACCAAGTTGAGGAACTCTGGTAAAAGCCGGGTGGACGCAGCTACCTAACCTTCAGGTGGCCGCGGACTGAGGGGACGGAGGGGGTGGAGCCGCACTAATCATCCAATAGGAGGGCGTGTCAGCAACGGTGGGTGGGACCGCGCTGCCCTGAGGCGCTAGAACCGTGCCCGCCGGCGGGTACTGCTTCCGGCGCCTATCTTGCTGCCTCCCACTGCGTTGCCTCAGGTCGCTCTGCCTCTGCCACGGGAGAGGATGATGGGACACCCGGGGGCCTGGCAATGGTGAGTGCGGGGCCAGGCGTCCCGAGAAGGGGGCGAAGGGCCTGGTGGGAGCCGGCCGGAAGTGGCTCTGACTGGACCCTGCTTCCGGGGCGCCGCTCGGTCGTCGGTCCCCTTCACCGCGGTGACGGCGGGAGGGACACGGGGACCCGACTCGGGCCCCTGGGGTCCCCATTCCTCTTTCTCCCCGAGGGGCACCTGGTTCTCCCGAGTTTTCCAAATATACGAGAAGCGGGTCCCAAATTCCGGGCTCTTTATCTCCTCGCTCTGAAAAGTAGCAACAAATCCCTTTTTCCGGTTTCCACTCCCCCCAGCCCACACGCCAGCATCCTCATCGTCGGTCCTGTTGGATCAGGTGTATCGGAGGTCCTTGGTTCAATCTGACCTCCTACCCCAGGCCCTGCATACGAAACCGAGCGGAGTTATTCAGGCAGAGGTTTCATGTCACCAAGCCCAAACTGCCTTGTCAGGAGAAACCCCAGGCAGGGTGGTGCACACCTGTAATCCTAGCACTCAGGAGGCTGAGGCAGGAGGATCTCGCAAGTTCAAGGGCCTGGGCTACAAAGCCAGACACTGTCTCAGCAAATAAACTTTGCTTCTGCTCAGTTGCACCTATAAACCCAAACTCCTCAGCTCCAGCTCATGGGACCACTCATTCTGATTTATAGAATGAAATGCTGCCTCATTCTAGAATCATAAAAGCCAACAGTAGATCTTTAAATATGTTGTAACAGCATCATTAAAATTTGTTTCATTGTACAGCATTTCTCCAAGTACACCTGGACTCTACCATCTGACAGTCATAAGACTTGTAGTGACCAGAGTAAAAATGTAGAGATAAGTCCGAATGCTCAATGTGTTATTAAACTTATATGGAAGAGGTTGAAGAGGGAATATGAGTTCTGTGACCACATCATATAGTAACTATTGAAGGCCACAGAATTGTATGTAACCTTCTTATGAATTGAGTATAGATTCCTAGACTTGTCTCACTCATCCTCTTGCATACAAATTCGGGGTATTTTGGGATATTTTAGGACACAGTGGCCCTTGAGGATGTGTCTGTGGACTTCACCCTGGAGGAGTAGACTTTGCTGGACCCCTTCCAGAAGAAATTCTACAGAGATGTGATGCTGGACACGTTCCAGAACCTGGCCACTATAGGTAAGGGTGACAGCGTGCTTTCAGTAAGAGAGCAGTATTTCTTTCTTATCCAGAAGGGGAATGCTATGTCGGGTTTTGGCTGTGGGAAGGTGATCTGTTTATTAGATGAACCAGGCATGGCTACAGCTCATTGTAAGCTTTGTCAGAAGGTAAACTAAGAATGAAACTTTAAAAAAATTACTTGAGCAATCAGCAGTTTCTGAGTTGGGAAGCACCAGACTGGAGATAGTTCCAGCTCTGCCAAGGGAACACAAGGGGAAGCTTTTATACAGGAAACATAGAAGCAAAGCAAAGAAATATTTGATTGATGGCTATTATACAGTAGTCTTATTTGCTCTATCCAGCTTTAAAAAAATCCCCAGTAGGGGCTGGGGATTTAGCTCAGTGGTTTCGTCGCCTGCTGCACAAGGACCCAAGTTTGATCCCCCGTACCAAAAATAAATAAATAAAAATAAAAATAAAGTAAAATGAACTAATATTTTTAAATGTTGTTTAACTTCTACCATAGTAAATATTAGTTAATATAATAACATAATAAAAACACTATTTGGGTTCAGTAATTTTTAAATGTGCAAAAGGGTCGACTTGAAGCCAAAGAGTTAGGTACCACTGCCTTTGAAAAATAGTAACACATTAAAAAAAATTTAGAAATTAGACAATAAGAACATTAAGAGAGACTGCAGGAGTATCTTGGATCCTCTATGGTTCTACAAGGCTATGACTTACAATGTTTTGGTACCGGGGATTGAACCCGGGACCTTGCGCTTTCAAGGCAGGCAGCAGAACCACTGAGCTAAATCCCCAACCTTACTTACAGTGTTTTAAAAAGTGCAACAAATGTTCTTGAAGTGAGGTGGAAAACTACCGAGAATGTAAAAATTGTTGGCTAATAATTGAATCAAATTAACTTAGTGTTTTCCCATGCTTGTCATAAGCTGGTTAACATTGAGGGGAAACTAGAGAACTTGATTATTTAACGTAATTTGATAGATAAAACATCTTTGCAACATTAGACTTGGGGGGAAAAATAACAAAAGCAAAGGTGGGAGGGCAGGGGAATGGGAAAAAAAATAAGAACCAAGATATATCGTGTAAAGGTATAGATCCCCAATGAGGAATGTCATGATACTGTATACCTAAAACGTACCAACGAAATTAATGAAAACAAAGCATGGGTGGAATCTTTGGTGTTATAAAAGTTAGAAACTAGAGTGTTTTCTGACTCAGAGTATTTTACTTTTGTGGCTATAGTTTTTAAAGCATTTCAATTGGAATTTCCCAATCCTGAGGTTCTTTTAGAAAAAGGGCATTTTAGCCAGTTGGTTTGGGTGGGGCCTGGCAAAGCTTTTTTAAAAGCTCCTGGTAATCTGTTGTGCACAGTTAAGAATGACAAAATTGGTAACCTGGAATGGAGAATCTTCTGTAAGGGATTTTTCTCCTGCATTTTGGAAGCCACTGAATTTAATAAATTGTAATCGTTTTCCATTTTATGTCATTTTGTGTGTTTTCATGGACTATTTCAACATTTCTTTCAAGTAGATTAGGATGGAATTTATTATTATTATTACTTATAAAGTCATTGTGATCTCACTTAAGGCCATGGGCTTTGTAATCAGGCCTGGATTCTAATTTTAGCTCCATCAATAAAGTAATTGTTTATTGGGAAAAAAAAGACATTACTCAGGAAACAAAATTATTATTCACTACCTCAAATTATCCACCATGCAAAGGAGAGGAACTGGGAAATACACCATACCGAACTCTGGCAGTTTTAATAGAGAGCATCAGGTTAAGTTCTTTAGTCTGCTCTGTGGCACCACAAAGGTTTTTGTCTTTTGCAATGCCAGGGACTGAACACACAGCCTCATGCAGCTAGGCAAGTGCTCTACCACGGAGCTGCACTCTGCCTTTGTTTTTCCCCCAGTACTAGGGATCAGACCTCAGGCCTTCTCACTGAGGTACACCCCCAGCCCTTTGTTTTTATATTTTTATTCTGAGACAGGGTCTCACTAAGTCATTTACTTGCCCAGTCTGGGCTCAAACTCATGATCCTCCTGCTTCAGCCTTCCAGAGTGCTGGATTTATATGCATGTGCCACCACATCCACCTTAATTTTTTTGTTTTTAGACAGGGTCTTGCTAAATTGCCCAGGCTTGCATCAAGGACTTGATGAGAATATCTCTATAAACTTGGTAAAAGGGAGAAGTCTATACGATTTGAAACAAGACTACCCATGTTGCCCCTGGCTCAGCTCAGCAAGGTATAGACTTCCTGCAAACTGCTGTAGCCAAGAGCACAGGCTCCCTCTGCCTTCTGCTTCTACTGATATCTCTCCCTGAGGTGCAAACTTCACTATTTCTCACCCATTCCCAGATACTGGGGGTTGTGCCTCTAACCTGGAAGACAATCAGATCCAGAGGTGGGTGCTCTCTCTCCTAACAAATCCTGCATTTGATTAATGGAGTCTCATCCTTGAGTGTAGTATGCTTGAAATGCTAAAACCAAAACTACTCTACCAAAGCCAGGCATGGTGACACACGTCTATAATTCCAGCACTTGGGAGGCTGAGGCAGGAGGTCTGCAGTGAGTTTGAGGCCAGCCTGGGCTACATAGTGAGTTCAAGGCCAGGCTGAACTACATAGCGAGACCCTGTTTCAAAAAACAACCAGAACGTTTTGTTGTTTACAAACAGTTCATGATTTCATGACTTGACCTTTTCAAAAGGAACTGGGAAGCCAGATGTGGTGGCATACCCCTGTAATCCCAGCACTCAGGAGGGTGAGGCAGGAGGATCACCATGAGTTTGAAGCCAGCCTGGGCTACATAGTTCAAGGCCAGCTTGAACTAAATACTGAGACCTTGTCTAAAAAAAAAAAAATTTTTAAAAGATCAAAAGGAACTGGGCAAAGTTTCATTTCATTTTTATTCATAGGGTTTTTTACCAGTGTAAGCCCATACACTCCAAACAAACTGACGTTTCAAAGCTTTCCCACATTCCTTACATTCATAGTATTTCTCTCTGGTGTGAATTTTGTTCTGTACTTGAATTAGAGTAAAATTTCTTCAGCTTCCTCAGATACCCTACATTTGTCAGATCAGCCTCCATTATGTTATTACATATCTTTAAACACCTGAAAGACAAATAGAGGCTTTCCCATAACTTTATTCATAGGAATCCTACACAACATGAGCACTTTCATGCCTCAGAACTGCACTGGGAGAGCCAAAGGCCTTCCTACAAAATTTACACTTATAGGGCCCATCTCCCGTGTGCCTTATCATGTGTCCTTGCAGGCCCGAAAGAGAAATGTAGGCTTTCCCACACTGCTTACATTCATAGGGTTTCTCCCCTGTGTGAGTTCTTTCATGTTTTCGAACTGAAGTGGAGCAGATGAAGCCTTTCCCACAATGCTTACATGGATATGGCTTCTCTCCTGTGTGAGTTCTTTCATGTTTTTTCAGTGCACTGGGGGAGTTAAAGACCTTCCCACATTCCTTACATTTATGAGGACCACCTCCAGTGTGCCGCATTGTGTGTCCCTGAAGGCCTGAGAGAGAACTGAAGGCTTTTCCACACTCTTTACATGTATAGGGTTTCTCTCCAGTGTGCGTTCTTTGGTGTCTTCGAACTGAACCTAAACAACTGAAGGCTTTCCCACACTGGTTACACTCAAAGGGCTTCTCTCCAGTGTGAATCCTTTCGTGGATCCTAAGTGAACTTGGATACTGCAAGCCTTTCCCACACACAGAACACTTATGTGGTCCACCTCCAGCATGTGTTATCACATATCCTTCCAGGCTGGTGACAGAAATGAAGGCTTCCTCGTGTCCTTGACATTCGTGGGATTTCTCTCCAGTATGACTCCTATCATCAATCTGGAAAGGGCAGTAACAGCCTAAGGCTTTCTCACACTGTCTACATGTATGTGGTTTCCCTTCCAATTCCTGATACTCATTTAATCCCTGACCCATGGGAGATGCGATGGGTTCAGATGGGGATGAAAGAGGCAAGAAGACTACTCCACACACACGGCATTCTTGGGATTTCACTTCAGGAAGGGTTTTCTGGTCCCAATTCTGATCTAGAATCTCGGTGAAGGTTTCTCCACACTGACCGCCTTCATCACTTTCACAGTGGCTTTCTACAATGTGACTGCTGTAAGAAATGAAAACACAGTAAAGTTTGCTTACTAACAATGCATACTTATCAATATGTGTTTAAACTTACATTTTTACTGTTATTGGGGAAAGCACAGATTTTCTACTCTGAGTTGTTTCAAAGTCCATAGTCAGTTCTCTGTAAGAGGGCTTAAATCCATCTATTTTATTTAAAATACTGATATTTGGGCCAGGGACTTAGCTCAGTAGTTTTGCTGCCTGCTGCACAAGCACAAGGACCCGAGTTCAATGCCCAGTACCAAAAAATAAAGTAAAATAAAATACTGATATTCATATTTATAATCTCTAATAAATATTTCCTATTTTGCAAACACTGAACATCTATGTCATATTTAAATACATATTTTTGGTGGAAATTTTCTTGGTAAATTTGGAGGTGAGCTGATTTACTATTTTAAAAATTTCATAGCATACTAATATTTTTTTGTGGGACACTGCTTTCTCTTTTCATTATAAATTACCTTAAATTTCTCCCTTGATTTCTGTACCAATCTTCGATGTTCTGGTTCCATTTTTCCCCTGTAATGTAGGGCCAGAAAAATAATTATGAGTTGTTAGAATGAGGAGAAAACATATTAGATTCTATGTTCACAATGGACTGCCACCATGCCGTTTATTTACCAAAGTATTCCCTTCGCACATTTCAAATCATGATACAGCACTAATGGACGAGAAAGACATGTTCTCTAATTAAGTAAAGAGAGGCTGACTTCTTACCTATAAAAGCCAAGCTCATAAAGATTTCCCCCACAACATCTCGGTAGAGTTCCCTCTGGGAATAATCCAGCAGGTCCCACTCGTCCAGGGTGAAATTCACAACCACATCATCAAAGGTCACGGAATCCTGAAACATCCCAGATGTGTTTACAGAGGCAGGTGATACAAAGCATTGAGGATCTCTGTTCAATCCATTAAAATCTCATATACAGTTCTGTCGAGTCCACACATTTAGTCTACGGTAAATGAATGTGGCTGTCAGATTCTGATCTCTGTCCACAATCACTTTCTCAGAAATTTCTCAGTACTAAGAACTCATGGAACTGATCTCCATGTTTATATTATGGTCACTAGAAGTCTTACTGTTCTCTAACAGCAAGGAAAAATAAAGATGGACAGCTTGTATTGATATGAAAGATCTGAAAGATATCAGAATAATTAGGAATAACCTCTTTTTGTTATTGTTATGGATGTTTGTTTGTTTTTTGGTTGGGGTGTTTGTTTTTTGGTTTTGGGCTTTTTTTGGTACCAGGGATAGAACTCAGGACCTTGTGCTTACTAAGCAGGTGCTGTGCAACTGAGCTACATCCCCAGCCCCTGTTTGTTTTTGAGACAGAGTCTCCTTTTGTAGTTCAGGGTGGCCTTGAATTACATAGCCCAGGCTAGCCTCAAACTTACTGTGATCTTCCTGCCTCAGCCGTGTGAGTGCTGAGATTACAGGCATGTGCCACCATGCCCAGCTCATTACTATAACTGTTATGTTCACCTGTCGAGGCAGGTAGACTCTTACCCAAAGTTTAGTCCAGATATAGAGAATGAGGATACACATGCCAAGGGGGAATAAAAGGTTGAAAATCTTGCAAAACATTTATCTCATCAAAGACAGGCACTAGAAAATAGTCAGTGAACTTTTTGTTTTGTTTTGTTTTGTTTTGTTCTGTTTTGCTTTGTTGAGACAGGGTCTCACTTACGTAGTTAAGGCTAGCCTTGAACACACTATGTAGCCCAGGCTGGCTTCAAACTCATGATGATTTTCCTGCCTCAGCCTCCCAAGGGCTAGGATCATTGGCATGTGCCATCATGCCCGGCTCGAACTCCTAAAACTCAGTAAGACAAAGAGGAAAATTAAAAATGACCTTAAGATTTCAGCAAGTATCCTCCCACCAAAGACACTAAACACATGGAAAGTAGGTATATAAAAAGTAGCTAAAATTGCACGTCATTAGAGAATTGCAAGTAGAAGAATAAAACAGCAGCACTTCCTTAGTAAAATGGCTAAACTTCAACATACTGAGCGGACTAAATGATCCTGAAGATGTGGAAGTCAAGAATCTCCTTTTGTTTCTAAAAGGAACAGAAAATGGCATCCTCTTTTGGAAGACCAGCAGCTAGCTTCTTACTAAATATACTCTCACCATACAATGAAACAATTATGCTCCTGGGTATTTACCAAATGAGTAAGAGACTTATGTTCACATAAAAACCTGTACATGAATGGCTTCAGAAACGTCAGTCATAACTGCCAAAACTTGCTTGTTTATTGTTTTTCGAGGAAGGGTCTCATTATCTAGTTCAGGCTGGCCTCGAACTCATGATTTTCCTGCCTCAGCCTCCCAAGTGCCAGGATTACAGGTGTGCACCACGATGCCTGGCTATCTCTGCCAAAACTTAAGAGTTAGCAAGAGTATTCCTCATAAGTGATGAATACACAATCTCTGCTATCTGCCTACGATGAAATACTGTTCAGTGCTAAAAAGAAATGAGGTACCAAATGATGCAAAGACTAGGAAGAACCTTACAGGCACACTGTAAAATGGAAGTGGTGGCACACACCTGTAATCCCAGCTACTGGAGAGGCTAAGGCAGGACTGCAAATTCAAGGCCAGTGTTATGGCTTATATCTAACTGTCCCCACCAAAGCCTCAGGTGTTCATAGGTCGGACTTTTCAGAGGTGGCTGGATCTAGAGTGTGTGATGCTGAGATTAAGGATGTTTGATTGCTAAATTAGTGCAACTGGTTTGGCATAATGGGAAGGCCCACCTTGGGTGTGAGTGCTACCCATTTGTCACTTGTTGCTTCACTTCTTTGGTACTTCACTGCTTTGCTGCCTTCTGCTCACCATAAACTGTTTTTCCTCTACAATGCCCCTCCACCATGCTCCCCTGCCTTGCAGCCAGCCAATATGAACTGAAACCTCTACAAACTATGAGCTAAAATAAACCTTTCCTTCTTTAACTTTGGGTGTTGAGTATTTTGTCTCAGCAACAAAGTAACTAAGACAGCTAGCCTGCCCTACACAGCAAGACTGTGTCTCAAAAAAAAAGTTTGTGTGTGTGTGGTACTGGGGATCGAACTCAGGACCTTGCACTTGCAAGGCAGGTACGGTGCCACTGAGCTAAATTCCTGGCCCCTCAAAAATTTTTTCAAAGGTCCATTGTAGGACTGGGAATATAGTTTGGTGGTACAACAATTAGCATGTGCAAGGACCTGGGTTTAATTTCCAGTATTGGCAATAAATAAATACAATGAAAGAAGTCAATCTATAAAGGTTATACACAATGTGATTCCAAGTATCAGACATTGTTCAAAACTATGATCCCAGGGGTGGTGGTACATGCCTGTAATCCCCGCACTCCAGAGCCTGAGACAGGAGGATGGCCACAAGTTCGAGGACAGCCTGGCTACATAGTTCAAGGCCACCCTGAACTGCATAGGGAGACTCTGTCTCAAAAACAACAAAGATCCCTGGTACCAAAAACAAAACAAAACAAAACAAAGAAAGACAACTATGAGGTCCCGGGATTTAGCTCAGTGGTTCCACTGCCTGCCTCGCAAGCGCAAGGTCCTGAGTTCAATCCCTGGTACCAAAAAAAAAAAAAAAAACACCACTGCCTGCCTCGCAAGCGCAAGGTCCTGAGTTCAATCCCTGGTACCAAAAAAAAAAAAAAAGACAACTATGAGACACTAAAAAGACCACTAGCTGCCAGAGATTTCAAGGTGGAAGGAAAACAGTAAGGTAGAACACAGAGAGGTTTAGGAATTAGTGAAACTATTCTGTATCATGGGAATATAATGGACACGTCACTAAATACAGTGAAAACACACAGAATGCCTAACAGAGACAGCCCTCATGTAAACATGGATTCAATGTATCAATATTGGTTCTTTGATTTTTAACAAACATAGCACAGTAATACTAGATTTTTTTTTCTTTATTGGACAAACTGGGGGCCGGGGATGTAACTCAGTGGCACCATGCCTGCCTGGCAAGCATAAGGTACTGAGTTCAATTCCCAGTACCAAAAAAAAAAAAAATTGGGCAAATTGTAGAGGCACAGTGGTGGTGTGGGAACATTACATTTTTCTTTCTTTCTTAATTTATTTTTATTTTTGCTATTACTGGATTGAACCCAGGACACTGGTGCTGAGCTACACTCCCAGCTCTTTTTTATTTTGAGACAAGGGCTTGCTAAGTCATTAACTTGTCCAGACTGGGCTTGAACTTGAGATCCTCCTGCCTCAGCCTGCTGAGATTACAGACTCTGAGATTCCCAGACTGCTGGGATTACAGGTGTGCATCACTGTGCATGGCTCTTTCTTTTCCTGTTGTTTTTGCAGTGCTGGGATTGTGCCCAAGGCCTTGCACATGCTAAGCAGGCACTCTACCACTGAGCTACATGTCCAGGCCCACTCTGTATTTTCTGATTAATTGTTCCATAAACCTCAAACCTCTCTTAAATTCTGGGGTTGGGGTGTGGCTCGGTGGCAAAATGCTTGCCCAGCATGAGCAAGGCCCAGGTTCCATTCTGAACATCCCAAAAATAGGGCAGACACAGGCCAGTCCCTCCTCAGCACCAAATCGTGCATCTTTCACTCAGTTCCTTGACCTGGCTTCCCAAGCCTTGCCAGTACCTAGAGCAATGACTGTAGCCTGCGAGTGAGAAGGGAGGTAAAAGTTCCAGGCGGCCTTCTTCAGTCACCTGCACTTGTGGCAAGAGAAGGAAGCACAGGTATTCGTTACCATCCATCCTCCTGGACCAACCTGGACAAACAGCATCCTGGTCCGGCCTCGTACCTGTGGAGTTGGCACATGCAGAGACTTGTGCCATCCGGAGTTAGGCTCTGGGTGTCTGTAGGCACATTGCTAGGGTTCCTTCAGCACAAACAGTGACTCTTAAACTCGAGAGTCTCATGCTGAGATGGCTGCAGATGTTGGGTAGGTTGTCCTGACCCCTGCCAAGGACCTCTCAGTGCTTCACCAGGTGTACCATCCGACATGAATTTGGCACAGCCAGGTGTGGTGGTGCACACCTGTCATCCCAGCACTCAGGAGGCCGAGGGAGAAGGATGGCCCCAAGTTCAAAGCTAGCCGGGCTTACATAGTGAGTTCAAGCCCAGCCTGCACTACAATGTAAGACCCTGTCTCAAAAAATAATAATAATAATAATTTGGCGATGTCACCTATCAAGCCTACAGACTCCCTCCCCACGTCTACCCCATTAATCCCAAGGAGCTCCCCAGGGGTTGGTGGAGCCTTAGAAGTGTGGCCTGGAGTTTTCGGTCCTTGCCTCTTTTCCCCTCCAGCCTCCTCCCTGCTCTGCTTCTGGGCCACCATGAACTCAACAGCTTCGCTCCCCCATGCCCTCCACCATGTTGTCTCCACCCTCTACCAGCCAAGTGTGAACTGAGACCAGGAACCAAATTAAACTTCTCCTTTAAGTTGTGGGTGTTGGGTATTGGGTCTCAGTGCCAAGAAAGCAACTAAGACAACATCACAGGCAGCTGGGTGGAGTTGTGTGCTGAGGGCCCAAGAAAGCCTTTATTTTCAGATGTGGCCAGACATTGTGACTCTAATGGTAAGGAGCGTGGGGACAAGGGAATGCGCAACACAGAAGATGACAGGAACTCTTGAGCACCCCAGGAATCCTGAGATTCCAGGAGGCAGGAGGGGAGGCTGCCAAGGCCCTGCAGTGAGTTCTGTCAGGGCACTACCAGGAGTGCGGGGGAACAGGGAAGAGCCTTTGGCAGCGTGACATTCAACATGGGCCAGTGTGGGAGTCACAGGAAAAAGGCCATAAGAAAATAATGTAAATAAGGACTACGCTGCCTTCACAACATCTAAGGCTGTGGGTGCAGCTCAGTGGCACAACACTGCCTAGCAAGTGCGAAGGCCGGGCAGTCATCCCTAGCAGCCTGAACACACACACAAAAACTTGGGCCAGAACATCCAGCGGACCTAGATGCTCTGGGTGCCAAGAGGTCCAGTAGCTATTTCTACATCATGTCAGGGAGGGAGTGGCCTGTTTACCAGCTACTTTACAGGTTTAACCAAGGTGGCAGACTGCTGGCATATGTGTGAGCCAATGGCCCATCCACTTTTCTGAGTTCTTTTTTCAGTATCTCCGTCCTCAGTGACTGGCAAGTGTATGCTCCCAGTGCAGGATGACTGACATAAGGTCAGACCTGTGCTCCCAGAGGAAGGCGTATATAGTTCACATCATTCCTGCAGACCATGAGCAATGCAAAGGCTATTGCAGATCCCCGAAAGCAACCAGGTAGAAGTACCACACCACATCTCCCCAAAGGTAAATCACCTATAATCCCAGCACTCAGGAGGCTGAGGCAGAAGGATCGAAAGTTTAAGCCCAGCCTGGGTCATTTAGCAACCTAGCGAGACCCTGTCTCAAAATTAAGAGGTTTATTTAGCTCACACTTCTGGAAGTCACCAACGATGTGTGTGCGTGCGTGTGTGTGTGCGTGCACACACACGGAGCTACAACTCGAACCCAGGGCCTTCTGCATGTTAGGCAAGCTTTCTACCACTGAGATATACCCCCAGCCTCCACGGATTTTTTTTCTCATCTTTTCTATCTATTTGTTTATTTTGTGGTATTGAGGATTGAACCCAGGCCTTTACAGAAAGCTACATCCTCGGCCTTTTTTTTTGTTTTGTTTTGTTTTGAGACAAGGTCTCACTAAATTGCCCATGCTGGGCTCCATCTCCTGAGCTCAGGTGACCCTCCCATCTCAGCCCTCCTGATGCTGGGATGCAGGCAGGCGCCACAGTGCCTAGCACTCCTGCCAATCCTAGTGTTTGACGAATCCAGCAAAATCACTCAGACCCTCTTTCGGGGAAGAAAATTATGTCACATTTGCCAATTCAACAAGAAAACCCACAGTCACCTCTCATTCAGAAAATGATGACTGGACACTAAAATATTCACAGCTGGAAATTATTTTGCAAACAATTCACAATATCAGGAGTGCCTGCGGTGGCTCTTCGGCTCCTAGCAGAGGTGCGGTGAGCCAGTGTGGGGACCGAGAGGCAAGCACAGGAGCCCAGGTGGTCAAAGTGCAGATGCAGCAGCTGTCAACTTTCAGCTGAACTCTTATCTCTCAACACTGGCAAATATTCATAAGATCTACTCCACCCTTAATGAGCTAAATCTAACAGAAGACATTGGTCGACCATCACCAAACAGAAAGCCCACGCTCTTGCAGTTCTTCAGTCTGCTTTAATAAGTGATGCCCCAAGGAAAAAGAGAAGACCTCTCTCTGGGATAACTTATCTGCTAAGAAGAGGAGACAGGATGGCATGTATCGAAAATACAATTCAACTAGAGTTAAGACTGAAGAAGCCTTCTCAAGTAAGCAGTGCTCAGAGTAGTTCTATGAATAAGCAGGTTCTGAGGACATTGTGGGTCCTAAAGCAATGGGGAAATTTTGTAAAGACATCAGTGTAGATCCTGAAAACAGTTATGCTTGTCCTAGCTTGGAAACTGTATGCACAAAACGTGGGTTATTTTACTCTACAAGAATGGTTAACGGGAATGACTTCTTTACAATGTGATGCAACAGAACAACACAGAAATTCTTTGGATTGCTTGTGATCATTATTAAATGACTCTACAAACTTTAAGCTTATTTATAGATAGCCATTTGACTTTGCACGGGAAAAGGACCAGCGCACCCTACACATAAACACTGCCAAGTGCATGTTGGGACTGCTGTTAGGAAAAATCTGGTCCCTTTTTGCAGTTTTTCACCAACTCTTAGAAGAACTATGGTGCCAAACTGCTGTCAGTCTGCAACTACTCCTTTTCTTGGAGCACATCTGTGTACCTGCTATGTCATCAATCAAAACATGAAGTGATTAGCAAAGACCAGTAGGGTGTGCAATGTGCTTGAATTCCACAGAACAATTAATCTTGACCTCAGCAACTACGATGAAGAGGGAGCATGGCCATTATTGTTGGATGAGTTCGTGGAGTGGTATAAGGACAAACAGATGTCCAAGAACTATATGCATAGCAGCGCAAGAGTCAGAGTTACCATTTATGTCACCCACAGGCCATAAACTGCTATTTGTATCAAAGCGCATCTGCTTTTCTTGCACTGTCTCCCTTTTGCAGGGATCTTCTGGTGTTTGCCGTTGAATGGGCCAGCTCTGGTTGATGAGTAACATTGCTCTCTTGGAAGGCTGCTTTCCAGTTTGTATTCACACTACAGATTGTGCCCTTTACTGAAAACTGAGACTCAGTGATGAAATCCTTTCAAGGTGACCCACCCAGGGAGGGGTGGTGCTCACCTGCAGCTGTGCATAAAGGACAGATCCCTCAGGCAAGTTCCCAAAGAGGAACCTCAATCCTAAATTTCTTTGGATGCATTTGTGGAGAGGACCATTCAAAGTGGTTATTTTCTGCTTTCCTCTAATACAAAATACCAACAAACCAAAATAATCACTTTTAAATACAGCCACCCAGGGCCTTGTGGAAAAATAATTTAATTACTTCATGTGTTGAAAATGTAGAAAGCTGGGCGTGGAGGTACATGCCTGTGATCCTAGCATTCTGGGAGGCTGAGGCAGCAGGATCACAAGTCCCAGCCCAGCCTGAGCAATTTAGTCCCTTAGCAAGACCCAGTCGCAAAATAAAATATAAAAGAAGTGGCTGAGGAGTCTGGGGATGTAGCTCAGTGCCAAGGCCCTGAGTTCAATCCCCAGTACCGCAATCAATCAATCAATCTAGAATTAAAGGGAAATAATCTCAATACTGCGAACTGGTGAGAAGTTATCCCAGCTGCTCCGGCGCACGAACCCCACACACGAGTCAGTGTCCCCGTGTCCCTTTCGCCGTTCCCGTGGTCCCCGCTGCCGTCCCAGTCCCGACCTGCGTCCGGAGGGGGCCGGGGACCGAGGATCGAGCAGCGACGGCCACCACAGGCCCAAGTACCCTCAGGTACTTCCGGTCAGCTCCATCCAGGCCCTAAGCTCCCGACTCCCCCGCACTCACCATTTCCGGCTTCCGGGGCGTCCTGGCGTCCTCCCTACGACTCCTACGGTCACTGCAGGTCATACAGGGACGGGTGCTGAGGCCAACAGACCTGAAGCGGCGTTGGACGGGAGAGACCTGATGACAGTGCTGTGGGAAGAAAAAAGCGAAGTCCACCGGCCGTTGCGTAGCGACTGCCCATCCCTTTCCGGGGGCGCGGATGATTGGATAATTGTCAGAGCCCCGCCCCCTTAGCCCTGAGTGACAGCGCTGTCGGGGTCACGTGACTTAGCCCACCCACATTTGTAAGCAATCCTCCTGGTTTTTTCTCTGCCTACACCTCCTCCCCCGCAGCGCTGGAGATGGAACCCAGAGCTTTAAATTAAGCACTCAACCCATGAACTGCACCCCAGTCCCAACACATTTGCGTTTTAAGAACTTGTTTCCAGTTCAGAAAGAAAATTGGCCCAGGCGTGGGTGAAAGAAATGGCTGGGAGCCAGGCATGGTGGCACACGCCTGCAATGCCAGCACTTTCTAGGAGGCTGAGGCAGGAGGATTGCAAGTTCATGCCCAGCCTAGGCAATTTAGCGACTTAGCAAGACCCTGTCTCCAAATTTTAAAAAGGCGGGAGCGGGGCTAGGGATGTAGATCAGTGCAAAGGGCTTGGGTTCAATCCTGAATGTCAATAAATTAGTAGCTGGGGCTGTAGCTCAGTATGAAGGCCCTGTGTTCAATCTCCAGTTTCACTCATAAGAATAATAAAAATTTAAAAGGGCTAGGGATGTGGCTCAGAGCGAAGGCCCTGGGTTCCATCCCCAGTACTGAAATAATAATTAGGTGGACATTTTACACCAGAAAAGAACTTAGAAATGCAGAATTCATAGCTTCACTGACATAATACTCTTAACGCGCTGCGTCACAACTCCAGTGGCCATGCTCCAGCTCACGACTTGGCTCTGTCGCTTTGCTTTTCCGTTGTGAGTTCAGCAGGGCCACAAAGGTGTGAGTGCAGGCATCTGTGACCTCCACTGAGGTCCCCAGTACCCAGAGCCTGGCGACACCACCATCACTCCTGAGCCTCGGGACAGGTGCTGCTGCAGGGGAGGAGGCCCCGGAGCTCAGGCCATAGGTTTCCCAGCACACACGACCACTCCCCAGCCCGGGAAAGACCTAACTGAGCAAGCATGCAGAGTGTAAGGTATCCTGCCCCAAAACCTGGCGCCTTCAAACTCAGTGTAGCCTCCCTCCTGCTTGCCACCAAACCAGAAGTCTTCCTGAAATTTTGTTTTGGCAGTTCCTGGGATTGAACCCAGGGCTTTGAGGATGCCGTGTAAGTGCTCTGGCACCCCTAGGCCCTTGAAGATTTATTCAAGGCTGGAGATAAGTGATCAATGATGACATCTTTACTCCCAGAGGGCCCGACTCTGCACAGAAGATATTCCGCATGCCCTCAGCGTCCTTCTTATCTCAACTCGTTTCCTTCAAAGTTCTCAATTCCTTTTTTTCTTTTTTCTCTTTAAGGCAAAATCTCGCTATGTAATTCAGGCTGGCCTTGAACTCTCTATGGAGTCTAGCCTGGCCTCAAATTCGGCCATCCTCCCGCCTCCAAAGTAGCATGAACGATGTAGGCACATGACACTGTAATAAATTATGAAATGCATGGAGTTATGTGCTAGTAACATCCTATAACGGAATAAAAAGAGAAAAGCAAACATTTAACTGGGCTTGGAGGCTTATGCCTGTAATCCCAGCTACTCAGGAGGCTGAGGCAGGAGGATTTCGAGTTTGAGCCCAACTTAGCCAACCTAGTGAGAACCTGACTCAAAATTTAAAAGAAAAAGAAAAGCAGGGCCAGGGATTTAGCTCAGTGGTTTTGCCGCCTGCCTCACAAGCACAAGGTCCCAAGTTCAATCCCCAGTACCAAAAAAAAAAAAAGAAAGAAAGAAAAGCAAACATTTGATCTAGCTCAAATAAACAGCTTGCTGCCTGGGATTTAGCTCAGTGGTTTCACCGCCTGCTGCGCAAGCACAAGGACCCGAGTTCGATCCCTGGTACCAAAAAAAATAAATAAATAAGCAGCTTGCTTTGCCCACAATTCACAAGGCAACCAGCATTCAGAAGGTTAAGATGGGCATGGTGGTGCATGCCTGTAACTCTAGCACTCTGGGAGGCTGAGATGGGAGGATCACAAGTTTGATCCCAGCCTAGGCAATTTAGTGACTTGAGATCTCCCCCCACCACCACCAGGGATTGAACTCAGGACCTTGCACTTGTAAGGCAGGTGCAGCACCACTGAGCTAAATCCCTGGCCCCTAGACCTTGTCTTAAAACACAATTTTAAAAGGGCTGGGGATGCAGATTAGCGCAAAGACCCTGAGTTCAAATCCAAGTACCAAAAAAAAAAAAGTTAACATATTCCAAGCTTGGAGCCACACTAATTGCTGAAATGGAGGCCTGGGGAGGATCAGTCTCCAGCAACAAAGCAGAGACACTTCAGGACATAACCAGGGCTCAGGTGCCCACACCCTGCTGTACCCTCCTTAGAGTGTGGAAATGCTCCCTCCTGATACTCATTTTCACCAGCAGGGAACTATAACCAGAGTGAGTGTAAGATGGTGCATATATAGACATTCCTCGCTTTAACACCCGAGCTATGGTCTTGTGCCTAGGTCATTAAACGATCTGGTCACCGAATGAGGAACTGTATATAATATGTACATTACAATATTCAGAACAAAGAAATGGTCAAAGGAAAGTCCACCTTGATGACTTTGCTTTTATTTGCGTAACTTTTACATGTAGTCCTATAATGTAAAACATAAAACTACAGTACTGTCCTGTACAATCAGCAAAAGTTACAGTACGGTACTGCAGAAGCCACCATAAGGCTGCACTGCTTCTCACACTGCTGTGTCTGTCCTAAGTCCGAGCGGCGAACAGCACGCCTTGGTCATAAATACAAACAGTCGTTAAACAGGTAAGTCATTAAATGAGGAATCTCCGTAACTACACAAAAATATTTTTCTTTTTTCAGTGCTGGGGATTGAGCCCAGGGCCTCATGCATGCTAGGCAAGTGCTCTGAGCTACATCCCTATAATTCTAAAAGGTTTTTTTTTTTTTGGTTTTTTGAGACAAAGTCATGCTCTGTAGTTCAGGCTGGCCTTGAACTCACTATGTAGCCCAGCCTGGCCTTGAACTGTTGGCAATCCTCCTGCCTCAGCCTCCCAAGTGCTGGGATGACAGGCATGTGCCACTGCAACTGGCTCTATTTTTTTTTTTTTAATTTAAAAATACTTTAACTCTTAAACTTTTCATTAGAAAAACTGACACACAAGCCTGGTCCTACACATGGTCAGGGTCACTGACATCACTACTGTGTAGCCCGCTGTGTCCCATGGCAAGGCCCTCAGGGGCGATGACATGCATGGTGCCGTCATCGGCGATGATGATAATGCCGCCTTCTGGGATGGCTCCTGAGGGACCTCCCTGGGGCTCGCCCACAGATGCCACTCCTTTCTGAATGGCGCCTCTTCTTTTTTGCTTCCTTTTAGCATCATAGATCTGCTCGTAAGCAGAAAGTGCACCCCGGACGCCCCTCTCCACTGCCGAGAACCTCTGAGGGTTGGGGTCCATGCTCTGAAACTTCTTAAGGAGCTGGTTGAGGTCCGAGAAAGCCTCTGCTAGGCCCGTTACTGTGAACTTTCTTGGGGCTGCTTCTCTGTCCTCTCCCATGCTTTCCACTTCTCTGGCCTCTTCTTTGGCCTTGTGTCCCTGTCCCAGCAACTCCTCATGGGCCAGGCCCTTGGGCGCCACCTCCAACAGTTCCTTGATGTCATCCTCATCTGCCCCCAGGGGAAAGTTGCTAGTCACTTCGGCCACAGCCTTGTTGACCTGTGCTGCCGCCTCCTCCTCCGCTGCCAGCCCTCTGAAGTCATGCACAAACCTCCGAAGCGTCTTCTTCCAGATGCCGGGCACACGCTCCTTGGGGACATCAGTGCCCACTTTGACATCATGTAATGAATAGCGGTTCTTGAATCGCTTCAACCACCCAGAGCTGGCACTGAACTCCACATTGTAGCCGGGCCCAGCCTTTTCCTTCAGCATTGCAAACAGACTCTTGGCTTTGGCTGTGATCATCATGGTACTGAGGGGGACGCACTGCCGGGTCTGGTCCTCGATCCAGGTCATCAGCAGCTTCTCCATGTCCGAAATGGGGCCCTCTCGAACCTTTGTCAGCCTCGTGGCCTTCAGGGACGCGGAGCCTCTTAGGGCTTCTGTCACCTTGTTCCTGTTCTTCAGGATGGTGGCGATGGTGGAATGGGACATGCCTGACTGGCGGGCAATGACCATCACTGGTTTCCCACCCTCGTAGTCCTGAATCAGTTTTAATTTCGTTTCCAGGTCGATCACCCGACGGGGCCGCTTACTGGTCACCTTACCAGTGGCTTTTGTACAGGGAGGGGCCATGGCAAACCAGACAACCCTGGCTGCAGTGACCACCGTCCTGCACGAGGTCCGCTGTATTCTAGGACGTCACTATGTAGCACAGGACAGTATAAAGTAATCTGCATCCATTTGGAGGTTCTGTGTTAACTAGAGGGAAAAAAAGTAAATTAGATAATTCCAGTGTTGGCAGATTACAAGAATACACTGTCAGCACTGGGCATGGAGGCACACACCTTTAATCCCAGCACTTGGGAGGCTGAGGCAGGAGAATCACTGCAAATTTGAGGCCAACCTGGGCTACACATCAAGACTGTGTCTAAAAAAAAAATGCAAACAAAGGAGAGGCAGGAAGATTTCTTTCAGTGGAGTCTCAGGTAGTCATTCTCTGCTTCCCTCTGATGAAAAGGACCCAGGAAAAACCCAAATCTAAAAAGAGCATCCATTGCTTTATGAAAAATTATAAACAAAACACTTCATCTATTTGATATGCACAGTGAAAAACAAACAGTCGATATGGTTGTGGACTGGAGGTGGAGAGTTGGCATTCCGGGTAGGGGAGGAAGTGCAACTCTAAGGATTTACTGCCGGCCCTAGGCTCTAGTTGTCAGAGATGTGTATTAGATGTTTGCTTGTTTTTGAGTCTCGCTATGAACTTCAGGCTGGCCTTGAACTCGTGGCGATGTCGTGCCTCAGCCTTCTGAGTGCTGTGATTACAAGCGTGGGCCACCAAGGCCGGCTTAGAGATGTGGATGTACCCTGCTGCTTTCTAGGCATCTGGACGATGCAAAGGAAACGGGTGACCCTGGGAACTACAGGACCTCAGCTGTTAACGTGCACGAACTCCACCCCCGAGTCAAGTCCCGGGGACTCCCGCCGTCCCTGCACAGAGGGCTCGGAGCCGGGCCGCATCGCCGCTCAGGGACTCACAGGACCCGGGTCCCGGTTGCCGGCCCAGCCCCGCCCGCTGCGGAGGGGACCGAGGACCAAGCGGCGCTCGGGATTTCGGAGCGGACGCGGGGGAGCGCGGGTCCCGTCAGAGCCACTTCCGGCCAACTCCAACCAGGCACTGCGCCGCCACTCACCACTTCCAGGTTCCCAGTGTCCGGCGCCCTCCCCAGCGCTCCTGCGGCCCCAGGAGGTCACCAGGCCACAATGGCGAGCCGGACCCGCCCACTGCAGGCGGCGGAGACGCGGAACCTGCAGGGAGGGAGGAGCGAGAAACTAAGATCCCGCGAGAATGTTAGCAAGCCGCCTGATTGGATGGTTTACAGGCCCCACCTCTGAGCCCCTGATTGGATACCTTGAGGCTCCGTCCTCTTGGTCTTGAAGGACTGGAGTAGCAATTAACAAGAGGTTAAACAAACCTGCCACTACAGGTTCTGGGTCACGGTGTTTCTCTAGCTAGGCGTCCCCTCCGCCCCTGCGCCGTTCCCCTCACGTAGGCAGCATTTGCAGTCAGGAGCACTTACTCTTGGTTTTCCAGAGCAGTCATTGGCGTCTTCCTGTAACTATGGGTCCTACCTGCTTTTCTTAGATGGATGCGGGGTCACAGGGTGCTCAGGGAATTCCATATTCAGGGTCCAATGAAGCAATCGCTTGGCCCCAGAGCAGGAGAGGAGCTGAGGCCAGGCCACACGGAGGCATGAGAAAGGGCTTGGGGTCCTGCAGGGTTAGGGATTTGGCACGAGGCTGGCCTTGAACTCCTGGTGATCCTCCTGCATCAGCATCCCAAGTCCTGGGATTACAAGTGCGCGACCTGGCACAATATCCTATGAAGGAATCTAAAAGGGAGAAGAGCGAACTTTTCAACTGGTTGATGTAAGCAGCCGCTTCACCCATATAGTTCACTAGGAAAGCCCACATTCACCGGGTGCACACAATCTCGTTTTGGGGGCCAGACAGCTAAAACAGGCCACAGAGGCCCCGTCCCTGGTGCTGAAGCAGAGACACCCAAGGATTTAACTCTGGGAGCTCACCCTGTCCTGTCGTCCCTTCCTCACAGTGGGGAAACGCTCCCCGCTCAACACTTTTATATTCAACAGAGGGGTACTCTGACCTGGGAGTCACAATAAGGTTTCGATCCAAAGAAACTCCAATTCAAGCTGGGCGTGGAGGCTCACGCGTCATCCCAGCACTCAGGGAGGCTGAGGCAAGAGGATCACAAATTCAAGCCCAGCCCGGGCGACTTAGCGAGACCCTGTCTCAAAATAAAAAAATACACAAGGGCTAGGATGTAGTTTAGTGTGAAGGTCCTGGGTTCCATCCCAGTGGCGGGGGTGGGGATGGGGGGGTACAGAAAACAGAAGCAACCAGAGTCACAGCTTCAGAAAGGGCAGAACCCCTTCCTAACCCATCTGCATGCCGGCCTCCTGCTTTCCAGGGCTGCACAGCAGCTTCTTGCTCTTTTCTCTTCTCCTGGAGCCAGGCAGCTGGAGGCACCGGAAGTGGAGGGCGGCTGCCCCGGAAGCGAAAGCGCACAAGACCACCACTGTGTACCCCTCCCTTGCAGGCTTAGCTTGGCCCTCATCTAGGAGCTACAGACCTCAGGCTCTGCCCCACCGCGGGTTGTTCACCTGCCCAACACCAGGTGATAGCGTAAATGAGACAGGGATCTTGAGTCTCATTGTTGCCATCAGAACCGGCGAAAGACCTGTTTTGCTCTTGTGTTTCTGTATAAAATAAAGGAAAATTCTACAAGTTTATTAGATTAAAAAACTGGCAAATGATTATTCCTTTGGGAAAAAGCAAAGATAACTACATATTACTAGCAGTGTGTGGTGGCACATGCCTGTAATCCCATGGGCATTTCTATATTTACAGCGATGGCGAACCTTTTAGAGCTTTCAGTGACAACAGCTGCCTGCAGCATGCATGCCATAGGTTCGCCACCACTGGAAGCGGTGTATAATGAGCTTTCCCCCCACCCCAGTACTAGGGATTAAACACGAGGGTTCTCTACCACTGAGCTACATCCTCAACCCTTTTTGTTGTTGTTGAGAATATGTTGTTTTGTTTGTGTTTGATTTGGTTTGGTTTAGTTTTGAGACAGTGTTGCTACATTGCCCAGGCTGGTGATCCTCCTGCCTCAGCCTCCAGAGTAGCTAGGATTGCAGGTGTTTGCCACCGCGCCTGGTTAGCTTTCCCTTTTAAACAATCTAACTGGCCCTTAGTTGAATCCTCCAGAGGCTCTCTGCAATGCCTCTATTTAAATTATGCACTTGAATCCCCGGTACCAAAAAACAAAATAAAACAAAACCAGAATCTAAATTATGCATTTGAAAAAAAAAAATTAAAAATAAATAAATAAATAAAATTAAATTTAAAAGGAAAAAAATTTTTTTAAAAATGATGGGATAAATTATGCATTTGAAACTGTCTTGCACAATGGACTGTGATATTTTGTTTGTTTGTTCGTTTTTCGGTACGGGGGGGGATCGAACTCAGGACCTTGTGCTTTCGAGGCAGGCGCAGTACCACTGAAGTAAATCCCCGGCCCATGCCCCATGGACTGTGATGTTTTGAGTGAGGACCACATTCCGTTTGTTTTTTGTTTGTTTTGTTTACTGTTCTCCAGCCCTTCACCCCACCTTCTCACTGAGGGCACGCAGAAAATATTCTAAACTCATCATCAGCTCATCGCCTGCTGTAAAGACTGGAGGTCTCCGCCCAGAGGACGCACGGCTGTTAATGTGGTCCTCACCACAAGAGGGCGCGAGCTGCCTTCCCTTTGTGAAAATGTCTCAAAGGCTTTTTATCGGAGTTTTTCGGGGGGAGGGTATTTTGGGTTTTTTGAGTCAAGGTCTCACCATGTAGTCCAAGCTGGCCTTGAACTCACTATGTAGCCCAGGCTGGCCTTGAACCATGCCAGGTTGTGTGGTTTCCTTTGGTTTCGTTTGGCTTTTTTTTCAGTACTGGGAATTAAACTCATGGGCTCGAAGGTGCTAGGCCAGCACTACACCGCAGAGCTACAGCCAATTAAAAATGTTTTCTTGTGAGACTGGATCTCATTGAATTGCCCAGGCTGGACTTGAACTTGAGATTGTTCTGCCTCAATCTCCTGAGTATCTGGGGTGACAGGCTGCCCCACTGTGCCCGATTTTGTTGCCTTTTTTTTTTTTTTTCTGTAGTTGTTCATGATTGTGATACAATGAGTCAGGGAGGACCAAGTCTTTCACAGTCTCAGGGGCCAAACTGAAGAGCTTGGAGTTGCTCTTGACCGCACTGGGGAGCCATGGGAGGTGTGAGAACAAGAGAGAGACTGGGCAAGGTCCTTTGGGGACTGGGATGCATGACTAGGAATTGAGCTGGAGGCAGAAGGACACTGGGGCGGGCACCGGATATGAGAGGAAGAGCGGAGTTCAGAAGGAGCACTGGGCATGGGCCTTGAATGGCAACTCCAGGCCTCAGTGTGGGCGTGCAGTTAAGGGGTGTGGGGCGGGGCATCCAGGGTTCGTATGTAACTGTGCTTTGTATGTCGTTCCCTTTGCCTAGGATGTTATTTATTTTTGTACCTTCCTAAAATATTGCCCCTGGTCTTGGGAAAATGAGGCAGGAGGATTGCCGGTAGTTCGAAGCCAGCCTGAACTACCTAGTGAGACCGTGTCTCAAAAATAATAATAAAATATTCCTACTGGTCCTTGCAGACCCTGAGCCGGACAATCTGCTCTGAGAATCCCTCCGGAGCAGATGAGCTTGCAGTTTCAGTCCCCGCGTGTGGCGCTCATGCTCTTCTGTGGGTTTCTCTGGGGTGGGGCCTGGCTGGCTCTCGGGTGGAACCCTCCGCGCCCTGGCAAGGTTTGCACTGGAGGGGTTGCAAGGAGCAACGGGTTTGTTTCTAGGAATAAGCCAGGGTGCAGGAGGTGGCTGCAGTTTGGGACATGGCCACGCGGGGGAAGCAGTGGACAGGGCAAACAAAGCTCAGCGGCAAAAGCTTGGGCCGCTGGTCCCGGGGAAGCAACCGCAGAGCTGGGAGGGGGGTGGGGTGGAGGCGGGCCCAGTGGCTTACGCCTGTCAACATCCCAGCTCTCGGGAGGCTGAAGCAGGAGGATTGCTGCGAGTTTGAGGCCAGCCAGGGCTACATAGCGAGACCCCTGTATCAAAACAGCAGCAAAAGTAACCCCCCAACAGTAAAAGATACAATCAAAAAGTAGCCGCGCAGGGACCAGAGTCCGATCCCCGGTACCAAAAAAAAAAAGAATAAACTGAGTCATTTATAGGAAATGGATGCACCTTGAGACCGTAATGTAAAGTGAAATAAATCAGACACACAGACTTAAATATTGCATAACTTTCCTTCTATGGAAAACCTGAAGTGTAAATAGTTTTAAAAGCAAAATAAAAGATAGACAATAGGACACAGGGAAATAGATTTTTTTTTCCAAAAGGAGGGCATCTAAAGATGAAGGAGGGAGGAAGGGAGGAAGTGAAATGGGAGGGAAGGGGACTAAAAAGAATTAAGATATGCTAAGCACATGCACTTACTCCCTGCAATGAATGTGAACACGATGAACTGCAAACATGCACTAATAAAAATAAGTAAGTAAATAAATATTTAAAAAATAAAGTTAGTCTGAATAAAGATGTTTAATTCAGCTAGCAATGGTTGGGCACTCCTGTGATCCCAGATACTGTACTGAGAAGGCTGAGACAGGAGGATCTTGAATTTGAGGCCAGCCTGGGCAACTTGATGAGCTCCTGTCTCCAAATAAATATGTAAAAATTTAAAAGAAAGCTGGGCGCGGTGGTGCAAGCCTGTCATCCCAGCACTTGCGAGGCTGAGAGGCAGGAGGATCGCTGCAAGTTCAAGGCCAGCCTGGGCTACACACTGAGTTCAGGGCCAGCCTGAACAGCAAAGGGAGACCCTTACTCAAAAAAACAACCAAACAAAAATTAAAATAAACAAACTGCATTTAAAATTTACAATGCAAATGTGTGTATAAGATTTGAAAAACCAGACCTGGATGGAGTGTGGGGTGCCCTTTGCAGACAGTTTGCCAGTGTCCCCCAGAGATTCTTGTCCTGGAGGATTGGTTCCCAGCAGTCTGATGTTGAGGTCCTGGAATCTTTAAGAGGCGGACTCATAATCCCAGCACTGGGCAGGCTGAGGCAGGAAGGTCTCCAAGAGTTCAAGGACAGCCTGGGCTACATAAAGACCTGATCTCAGAAATGAATAAATAAATAACGATAAGAGAGGGAGCCTTGGGAGGTGATTAGGTCAGGGCAGCCTTGCTTGGAAAGGGCCTGATTCAGCTCTTGTGAAAGCAGCTGTTACAAAGGTCGTGGCTAAGTGAGGCCACTCCCACCCCTGCTCAGCCTCCTAGGGTTCCCTTCCTGTCCCTCTGTTCTGCGGTAGGTAGGGTGACCCCAGCAGAAGCCAGCAGATGGGGTCCCCTTGATATAGGGCCTATGATAGGGGACCTCCAAGTAATCCAAATCATGTAGGGAAATATTATAACCCAACCTGCTAGATGTCCTAAACACCGAGTTCCTGTTCTCTAAAATGGAAGAATGAGTTCTAGGAACAACAGAGGTGAGGAGTAGGAAGAATTTATTGAGAGAAAGATAGCTTCTGCCTAAGAGAGACAGAAGGGGGCCTGGAAAGTGGGTTGCCTGCCCACCCTGCTTCTCAAAGGTTTTTTTTTCAAAGGTGTTTTATTAAGCAAAGCCACAAGGTGAGGTGGGTTCAAGGTGGGACAAAACTACAGTCCACTAATAAGATTACAAGTATAGTAGCTTAGGTAATATTGATTAAATGCGGATCAAAGGGAGAAGCAAGTCACAAAGCAAGCATACATGGAACAAGGACTTCCCGGAAGAAATGGGCTGGGAAGGTTTTGTTCCCCACCTCAAGTGATTGCTGCCTATTTAGAATACCAGGTCCTACTGTTCATCTCGAGGGGAAGTACATGGTATAGGTGTTCTTTTGCCTGAAGCCTGGCCTTCAGTGATGGACCTCGGGCCACTGCTGTGCTCTGTGCTCTGTGCTGAGCTCGTGGCCCTGCCTAACTGCCTTATAATACATTCTAAGGAGCTTAGCTGTCTGTCTTAGCACTACCCTGATCTTGGACTCTCGGCCTCCAGGGCACAAGCTAGATAAGCCCTTCTTCTGTATAGACTCTGCCGCCTCAGCTGCTGCGCTGGATTAACTAATGGTCTACTTGGAAGGCCCAGCCAAACCAGTCAGCGTGGCTCTGGGTGTGCAGGATCTACCTGAGGATTGTTGCCCATGGCATAAAAGAGAACTGGAGGGGAAGGTCGTGGGCTATTGATCTTCTTGGAGAAGCTTGCAGGGGCTGGTTTTCCTGATACAAACTTGGCTGTTCTCATTGTCAGAGTGAAAGGGAATTTCCAGGCAGATGGATATTTTTTAACAAAAAAATAACTGAACTGGACAACTATGAGTTAACTGTGTTATTAGGCAACAGTGGGTTAACTAGGTAACTAGGCTCTTTGTAGAATGTACCTGAGTAGCCATGACAACTTCTGCAATTTGTCACCACAGGAACATAATGGACTCAAAGTCCTGCAGAACTCTTTGCTCTGCGTTGTGTAAACTCTGCTTAAAATATTCTCAGGGAAACTCCAATGGAATTCAGCCTCATAGAGGTAAAAAATGTCAAATAACCAACCAAAGACTGCCAAGTACTCTGCTTCTGCTTCTGTACCTCCTGCTTGCAACCCTAGAAAACTGCTGGCCCACTGATATTCTAGGCCAGACTTCTTTGAGGAAAGATCCCGGTCAGGTCCACCGATGTAAATACAGCTGTTTACCGCCCCAAATCTCTGGGTGTGTTCTGTTTCCGGTTCTGGTATTCTGCAACAAGAGGAGCTTGGGTCCTCCCTGTCGCTGGGTTTATCCTGTGTAGCTCAGGCTGGCCTTGAACTCACAGCGATCCTCCTGCCTCAGCCTCCCGAGTGCTGGGATGACAGCTGTGTGCCACCACGCCCGGCCGGCCCGGCTGTTTCTACGCCTGTAGAGAGGCAGCACCTGCTGGTGGGGACAGAACAAACCCTCACCTCTCCATGGGAAAGGAGAGAGAAGACACCAAGTGGATGTTGACCCCCAGTGCTAGAGAGCACAGCAACGTCTAAGGAGAGCAGCACAGTGCCCAGTGGTCAGCGAGCTGGTGTGAAGGAGGCCCTGCCACAGCCCCTGCCACACCACTCACTGCCCTGTGACCTTGGCAGGGTCGCTTCTCCTTTCTGTGCTCTGCCCTGGGAACAGGGATATTGGGCAGGGCGACCTGTGACTCAGACCCCTGTGGCCTGGAGCCCCTGAGTCAGCGGGAAGAGCCTGCCGAGAGGCTGAACTGAGAGGTTAAGGCCAAGGGCCTGGACAGGGCACAGGGCATATATAGTCCTGGTTACTTGGGAGGCTGAGGTGGGAGGATCCTTTGAACCTGGAAGTTCAAAGCCAGCTTGGGCATGAATGTAGGCATAATATTCTCAGTCTTTATAGTAGCTTTGGAGAATCAAGAATGATTCTGGCCCTTGTGAAGTGATTTTTCTTTTTTTAACAATACTGGGCATCGAGCCCAGGGCCTTTCCCCTGAACTACATCCCCACCCCTTTTTATTTTACATTTTAAGACAGAGTCTTGCTGAGTTCTCCAGGGTGGGCTCAAACTTGAGATCCTCCTGCCACAGCCTCTCAGAGTACTAGAACGACAGGCACGTGCCATGTCTGCTGTCTTTCTCCCTTGTTTCCTCCCTCCCTCCCCCTTTCAGAGAGTTGTGACACGGTCCCACGCTGCTGCCAAGGCTGGCCCCCAGCTTCTGAACTCAAGCCATCATCCTGCCTCAGCTTCCTGAGGAGCTGGGACCACAGTTGTCTGCTGCCACACTGGCCATATACTGACAGTGTTTTAAACATAGGGCTTGGCTGACAGCACTGCTAGCCATGTAAACATCAGCTGGAAGTAACACCAGGTTGGCACTTGGGTGACATGCCTTTGCCTAATTATAACAGTCACGTGTTCACCTTGTCCAAATGCCACAGCATCAACATCTATAAAGTAGCAAAGGGGGCCAAGGTGGTGGTGCACACCTATGATCCCAGCACTTGGGAGCCTGAGACAGGAGGATGCTGGCTCATGCTTCTGTACAGGTTGGGGTCTCTGAAGCCACAGCAAGATGGCCCCTGTCCCCAGGGCGGATGGGGCAGAGCTCCGGGTACAAAAAGTGGAGCCCCTAAAGTGCAAAGGGAACCTGGGGGCTGAAGGTCTGATGGTGCAGTGGGCTTGTGCCTTTGTCAACACATTCAAACCATAGCCTGATACAGTGGCACACGCCCATCATCCCAGCACTCAGGAGGCTGAGGCAGAAGGGTCACTGTGAGTTTGAGGCCAGCATGGGATACATAGGAAGACCCTGACTCAAAAAACAAAAAAAAAGAAGAAAACAGTCTCAAAGCAAAACAATTAAAAGAGCTAGGGGTGTAGCCCAGGGCCTCCTATGTTCAATCTTCCATACAGGGGAAGTGTGTGGGGAGGGGTTTGTTATGGAAGCATCAACTGCAGAAGGAAAGGAAATTATATATGTGCTGCCAAAGCTAGCACAGAGGAAAGGAAATGGAAGGCAGGGCTAGGGAACAGGGTGGGAGCCTGCAGGTGTGGCCTGGGAGATTTGTGTTCTGCTCTTCTTTCTCCTGTTTCTTTGTTTTGTTTTTTGGTACTGGGGATTGAACTCTGGGACCTTGTGCTTGTGTGGCAGGCCCCGGAACCACTGAGCTAAAGCCCCAGCTAATTTTTTTCTTTTTATTTTGAGACAGGGCCTTGCTATATCACTAAGTTGCCCAGGTTGGGCTCTAACTTGGAATCCTCCTGCCTCAGCCTCCCAAAGTGCTGGGATGACAGGTGAGTGCTACCGTGATGGGTTTTTATCGGTTTGTTTTTCTTTTTTTGGTACCGGGAATCAAACTTGGATCCTTGTGCTTACGAGGCAGGCAGCAGAACCACTGAGCTAAATCCCCAGCCCTTTCTTTTTGTTTTGAGACAGGGTCTCACTCTGTAGCCCAGGCTGGCCTCGATCTCAGTGATCTTCCTGCCTCAGCCTCCTGAGTGCTGGGATCACAGGCGTGTGCCACCACACTCGACTCTTGGGTTTTATTTAAACTCACATCCCTGTGAGTACCCAGCTGTTTATGGATGGGGCTGACAGGAGGAGGAGGTGGGGAGCCCTGACACCCTTACCCCCATGGACACAACACATCCCAGGTGCTCATGCAGCCTTGACAACACTTCCTTTATTGAATGGCAGTGACAAAAAGATGCTGGATTTCCTTCCAGCCCCCACCAAGAACCCCCAGCACCCAGCCTGGGCGAAGTGTGTGACATGCGGGCCAGGACACGTGTCCATGCTGCTTCGCACATGCGGGCGCCAGTGCCACCTCACCACGTGGTGCTATGGCTTCTCCCTTCTCTGCCGGAGCACTGGGGCCCAGGTCCCCGTGCCACCCGCAGAGCCCCCGGCCTCAGGCCCCAGCAGGCACAGCAGGCCTCCTGGGAGCTCAGGGCCTGGACCGTCGAGGCAGGCTGGTCTTGAAGAGGGACTTGCCCGAGGCTTCCATGTAGGTGACAGTCATTTCTTTGGTCCCTATCTCCACATAGGCAAAGCCGCCCAGTGAGTCCTCGGAGCCGTAGTGGAACCGAAGGTATCCACTGGGGACTTTTCGCTGGTGCCGAACGGAGGGGTCCATGAAGTTCCCGGCCCCACTCAGCACAAAGCCAATGCCATTCTCATCTTGAAGGTACTGGAAATAAAAGACACAGGGTCAGTGCAGCCCCAGCCCTGACAGCAGGCTGACCAGTGGTTTGCCCACACGGACCACATCTGTCCCCAAGTCCAGAGTCACCTTTTATTTTATTTATTTTTTGAGACAGGTTCTCGCTATATGGCTCAGGCTGCCCTTGAACTCACTATGTAGTATAGGCTGACCTTGAACTCATGGCAATCCTCCTGCCTCAGCCTCCCGAGTGCTGAGATGAAAGGCCCATAGCGAGCCTGCCTCCCCCTCACCCTCAATGGCCTCACCTGCAGGTTGTGGTCATGGCCACACAGGTAGGCAGTGACCATGTAGGTGGCCAACAGGGGGCGCAGGTGCTTGACCAAGCAGCGGGTGGGCCCGTGCTCAGCGATGGACCACACAGGGTAGTGGCCAGCCACCAGCACGTAGTCTTCCTTGGCCGCCGCCAGCTGCTTCTTGAGCCAGGACAGCTGGGTGCGGGCCACTGCCGGGTCTCGAGGCCTCTCGGGCTGCTGGCTCAGGAAGTCATCAGAGTTGCCACACAGAGTCACCGTGTCCAGCATGAAGATGGCCACAGTCACGTTGTTCTGTGGGATCTTGAAGTGCAGGCGGTAGAAGGGGCTGGGGAAGTTCCTGCCGAGGCAGAGAAATGTCAGGCCAGGGCCGGCTCAAGCCAAAGGAACTTTTTAAAAAACTGATGTATTTTTGTTTGTTTGGTTGGTTGGTTTTTTTGGTTTTTTTGGTTTTTTTGTTTTTGAGACAGGCTCTTGCTATGTAGTTCAGACTGGTCTTGAACTTGAAGCGATCCTCCTGCCTCAGCCTCACAAGTACTGGGATTACAGGCATTTGCCACCGTGCTCAGCAACATATTTTTTTTTAACTGAGATTGAACTCAGGGCCTTTGTACTGAGCTATAACCCAGCCCCCTTTTTATATTTCATTTTGAGACAAGGACTTCTTAGGTTGCTAAGTTTACCAGGTTCTTAGGTTGCTAGGTTACTAGGTTACCTAGCTTGATAGGTTTACCGGGCTGGGCTTGAACCTGTAATCCTCCTGCCTCAGCCTCCCAGAGTGTTGGGGTTACAGGCATGCACCACCACTATGCCCTGATTTTTTTTTCAAGACAGGGTCTCACTATGTAGTCCAGGCTGGCCTTGAACTCACTATTCAGCTCATGGAGAGCCTCCTGCCTCAGCCTCCTGAGTGCTAGAATAACAGGTGTGTACCTCTAAGCCCGCCTCACCATGCCCAGGGTATGCTCACCATCGCTTGGAGATCTTGGAGTAGGCGATCTGTGCTGAGACATTCCCCAGGTGGTCGTGGTTCCCCGCCAGCACGTACCAGGGCACGTTGCGCAGGGAGCGGTCAGAGAACACGTTCTCAAAGGTCTCCTATGGGAACAGGAAGGGTGCTCTCATGCTCCCACTGGCCAGGGGCAAGGGATAAAGGAGCCATCAAGTGCTCCGGGCACCTGCAGGTGCTCTGTCTGCCCCCATCTGCGCCCCCCAACCCAGGAAGGCCATCAGATAGGGGGCAGCTGCCCATCCAGCACACACCTGGAACCTCTTGTCATTGACATCGCGGACGCCTGTAAAGTAGAAGTTGTCCCCCAAGGACAGGATGAAGTCGGCTCCCATCATCTGCACGGCTTTGGTGATCTCCTTCGCATTGGCCATTTCCCGGGCCGTGTGGAACGGAGCATTGGGGACCCCGCCCCAGTCACCCACAGCCACAAAGCGCAGGGTGGCTTTGGGAGCCGTGCAGCTGGCCAGGGGGAACAGCAGCGAGGCCTGCAGGGCCAGCAGCACCATCCATGCAGTCATCTGCGAGGGGAGAGACCACGTGTGGGCCCTGGAGCCTCCCAAGAGGGAAGAGGACCCCGGTCCCTACAGGGCTGGGCCAGCAGGGTAGATGGTTTTTGTTTTTTTAGACAGCATTTCACTATACACTCCTGGCTGGCCTTGAACTCACTATGTAGCGCAGGCTGGCCTCGAACTCACGGTGATCCTCCTGCCTCAGCCTCCTGGGTGCTGGGATGACAGGTATGCACCACCACACCTGCCCTAGGGTGGTGGGTTAGATTTTTATTTTTTTATTTTTTGCTGGCAGGAACCACAGGGTGCTGTAGATCCCAGGATTCCATGGCAAGAACTGGAACTGGCCAAGGAGACAGGAAGAGTGGTCAGCAGCCCTCTCACCGCCCTGCACCCCCTTGCACCCAGAACTCACCTTGGCGAGCTGCAGGCTGGTGAGCAGGAGCCGCAGGAGGCAGGTGGACTCTGGGGCAAGACCGGCTGGTCTGAGCCTTTATTCCTGGGGGCGGAAGTGGATCCTCTGGGAGGGTGATGCGCTTTCTCCGAGGACAGCACGGTCCCAGGGCCCTCCCCTGGTCATGTGAGCCCGACTTCCCAAGATCTGAACACGGGATGGGGGCAGGGGGCAGGGCTGGCGTGGGAAGCGGCTGCCGCGCCGCCCCTGGGGCCGTGTGACTGTTTGTGTGCCCTGTGCCTGAGCGCATCCATGCATCTGGGCGTGCACCCAGCCCAGCCGTGAGTGTGCCCACACGTGTCCCGGGCAGATGTGCCCACCGAGTCTGGGCGGGGACCACTTCCTGTGTGCGCCAGGGCCTCTGTGTGTGTGTGTGTGTGTGTGTGTGTGTGTGTGTGTGTGTTTGTGACACATCTGCTGAGCCTCCAGGGCCAGGGTGGCCCATCGGGGAAGCGCTCTGTGTCGTGAGGCCCTGTGACCAGACTTGGCCTGGCTGTGCTTGGGGCCTCAGCTGTGTGGCTGGCCCTAACGTGAGCTGTGGGTGCCACCACGAGGTGTGTGTGGTGACACTGGAGTGGGGGAACCTCCTGGGTCCCTGTGCTCCCCCACGCCCCCCCCCCCATGTACACAGCGGCCCCGGTGGCTTCTCTTTTCCAGGAAGTGTTGTCCCCGCCCTCCCCTCCCCTGCCACCGCCAGTCCTGCAGGAGGAACCCAGGCAGGCGGCCCCTAGGGACAGAGCACGTGACTGCCCCTCTTTGACCCCAACACCTCCAGCAGCTGCCTTAGGGGCCTCCCAGGGGCGCAGTCTCTCCGGGAAGGCAGCAGGGCCGGGCAGTGCAGGGTGTGGCCTCCCTCTCACCTCCCAGCTCCCTCTTCTGCCTGGGACACCGCCCAGACTTGACCCCTGGACACACAACCAAATCCCTCTGGTGCCTGCTAAGTTCTCCAGGCTGGGGGCAAACTTGAGATCTGCCTGCCTCAGCCTCCCAGAGTTCTGCGGTGACAGCGGATAGGAGAACCCTCATCCAGCGCAATGATACCAGCTCAGACAGGATGAGTGACGCGACCAGGGTCACTGAGCCAGCGATGGCAGTCGGTGATACTAATACTCCCCAACCCCAACCCCGTGACAGACAGGAAGAGAGTGGGTAACAAAGGCAGAGAGACACTCTCCCCTCCCCCAGCTCACCTGCTGCCCGCGGTCCCGCCGGGTGCAGAGCCTGGGACTCCGGCTCACCCGGGTTTTAATGAGGAGGCGGCAGCGGCACCTGGGCCCTGCGCCAGCCAGGTGCGCCCTGTAGGGGCGGGGACCAGGCCTCCCGCCCCGCCCCACCCCGCCCACCGGGCTGGACCTGAGCCAAGGAGGCCCAGGAGGGCCCAGCCCCGCACCATGGGGCTGAGGTTCTGGGCAGAGGGAGACATCTGGGACCCATCTCTTCCTCCCCCTCCCCCTCAGAGTTGCCACCTGCCTGGGACACTTGGGCACCCTTGGGCCACAGTGAGGCCAAGCTCTAAGGAAATCTGACACCCTTCTGCGCAGCCTCCTAGGCTTTAAAATGGGTGATTCCCAGCACACAGGAGGCTGAGGCAGGAGGATCACCACGAATTGGCCGGCATAGTGAGACCCTGACTCAAAAAACCAAAACAAAACAAAAAAAGAGGGACATGAAGAGCTGGGGTGCAGCTCAGTGGTGGAGACCCTGGGTTCCATCGCCAGCACTGAAGGGTGTAAGAGAAGTATCACATAGTCCCTAGAATTTCAAAGAATTTAAGTACACATACACACACACACTCACACTCATGCTCACACACACGTGCCCAGAACAGGAAATGGGAACTTTCCTTTCTTCTTTCCTTTTCTTATTTTCAACACTGGGGATTGAACCCAGGTCCTTCACACTAAGCCCAATCCCTGGCCCTTTTTATTTTTTATTTTGAGCCTGAGTCTCTCTAGATTGTTTAGTTGCCTGGGATAGGTTTAAACTTGAGATCCCCCTGCCTTAGCCTCCCAGAGTGCTGGGATGATGTGCGTGTGTCATCTTGCCCAGCCAAGGGAGCTGAACTGCTATCCCAGCCGCCGCCACCCCCCTTCTGAGAGTGGACTGGACCTGGTGACTGTCGCCCAAAGAGTCTCAAAGGGGGACACCCGGCAGATACCACCAAGGGGTGGGTCCAGGTGACAGCCAGCTGTCACATGGACACCACGTGGCTTTGGTAATGTTTCTGCTCTCCTGGTTTCCTCCTGAATCCCATCACTGCAGGCCCCCGATGTCCCACATGGAGGCACAGTCCAGGAGGACAAACCAGGGCTCTACAAAATCATCCAGAGCTGTCCCAGAGGAGAGGACACAGGAGGAGAGGACGCAGTGTGGGAGACTGGGGAAATCTAGAGAAGGCCTGGAGTTTTGTGAATAGCAACACAACTAAGAAATGTAAAATAAAAGGAAATCAAAGAGACAGAGTCTCAGTACGTTGCCCAGGCTGATCTCGAACTCTTGGGCTCAAGTGATCCTCCTGCCTCAGCCTCTCTGAAATAGCTTGTACTATGGGTGCAAGTCACCCAGCCTGGCTCAATATTCATTAATTTTGTTTTGTTTTGTTTTTTTAAGACAGAGTCTTGCTATGCCTGACCTGGCCTTGAACTCACTATGTAGCCCAAGCTGGCCTGGAACTCAGTGATCCTCCTGCCTCAGCCTCCTGAGGGCTGGGATTACAGGTGTGGGCCACCTTACCCAGCTATAACTTTTTTTTTAGTTTCATTATCTTAATTGGCTTTATTTTAATTCTGTAATTGGGTAACACTTCATTCCATTAAATAGAATAATCATTTCTCCATTTATAACTCTGTCATTTAGACTTAGCACTTTCGATTTTTTTGTTTGTTTTTTGGGGGGTTTTTTTGTTTGTTTTTTTTTGGTAACAGGGATAGAACTCAGGCCCCTGTGCTTGTGAGGCAGGCAGAGGCATCACTGAGCTAAATCTTTTTTTAAATTAGAAAAACACAAAAATGTGCACGTGATTAAAATTAAGCGATGTAGGGCTGGCGGTGCAGCTCATCGGTAAAGGACGTGCTTAGCTCTCACAAAGCCCGGTTTCCAACCCCAGCACCCCCATAAGTAACATAACTAATTAAATAGACCTTGTCTATGATTCCAGCACTCAGGAGGCTGAGGCAGGAGGATCGCTGCGAGACAGAGGCCAGCCTGTGCTGCACAGTGAGCTCAAGGCTACCCTAAGCTACATAGCGAGACCTTGTTTCAAAAACCCAAGAAACTTAAATGAACCCTATTTTATACAGGGAACTTGATGCAACCTGGAGCTTCTCAGCTGTGTCTCTCTGCCCCCTTGAGGGTTCCGTTCCGCATATGCTTTCCTTTTTGTTGTCCCCAGAGCCCCGAGCCCCCTTCGGCAGAGTTCCCGCCCCACTGGATCCGGATGTAGCCGCTGTTTCCCCTCCCCCTCCATTCCTGCCTATTTTTCCGGAGTCCACCCCAAGCGTCAGCCTCATGCCTGAATTCCTCTTTGGGCTCTGTTACCCAGGCTCCCCGCCCTCCCTGCGGGCTCCTCTTCTCCACTTTTCTCCCCTTGTTCCTTTAGCTTCCCAGGCCTCCTTCACCTGCCAGGAGGACCCAGGCACACGCTGACTTCAGGGCCTTGGCACCTGCTGCTCTGGCCACTGAGCCCTCTTCCTGCCTCGTCGCTCACCAAGTGCCTACCTCACTGCGCTCATTTTTCTTTTTTAAATTTGTTGCTAAATAAATGAATGTGTTGCGGTGCTGGGGTGGAACCCAGGTCCTCATGCATGCTAAGCCAGCACCCACAGCTCCCAAACTTAGGATCTATAGTTTCTGCTGTAGCGCTTCTCCCTGCCTGACAAACATACGATCCTGTGTCTCATTTTCTCTTCCTCTCTCACCCCGGAAGCTCCGAAAGGCCCAGAACTTTCTCTGTGTGGTCTGCTGCTGTTGCTCCAACATCTCAAGTCAGGAGCCCATGCAGTGACTGCTCAGTGATTATTTGGGAGATAACAGGATGAAGGCCCGCGCTGCAGGAAGGACTTAGTCTCTCCACCTTCTCTTCAGTCCCCACCCACACATCTGGCTTCTGTTTCAGCCCTTGATGGAACATTCCGCCAACTCCTTTACAGCTTGATTCAGTTCCTTTTTGCTTTTTGAGACACAGTCTCACTATGTAGCCCAGGCTGGCCTCAGAATTGCAGAGATCCTCCTGCCTCAGCCTCCCAAACGGGAATATAGATGTGTGCACCCTGTTTCATTCAATTCTAAGTGAGGTGGATTCTTTCTTCCTTTTTTTGTAAATTATTTTTTCTTTTTGTTTCTGTTTCTTCCTTTTTGGTTTGGTTCTGGGGATTCAACGCTGGCCTTCCCCCAGCTAAGCACCTGACTACCACTCAGCTACACTCCCGGCCCCTAAGTGGAGTTGTAGTTGCTGATAATCCACCGGAGTGCAACTCTTAGAGACAATCAGCTGCCCAAGGTGAATTCTGCAGCTCTCTAGCATCTTGTTTCAACGCTCAAGTCACTCAAGGACAGAATTGGGGGCCCCAGGGCCCTTGCACTTGCTATTCCCGATAGCAGCATTCTACTTTCCCACCCAGGTTCTTGTCATTGAGCACTTGCTGAAATGCCACCCCCTCAGACCACCTTGCCTCAAGTCAGTCCTGCTCACCCTCTCCGAAGTGCTCTGCTGTCAAGTACATCTGTCCCCCTGTCCCCACCAGGAGGTCCTGTGAACACAGGTCTGAGTGGACAGTCAAATTGGGGGTGGGGTGGGTGCTCAGGGTCAATGCTGCTTCCTTTTTTTTTTGTAGTGCCAGAGAAGGAACTCGTGGTCTTGCATATGCTAGGCACCACTACTGCCACAGACCTCCATCCCCCTCCTTTTCTTATTTTATATATATATATATATATATATATATATGTGTGTGTGTGTGTGTGTGTGTGTGTGTGTGTGTGTATTTTTTTTTGGTACCAGGGATCAAACTCAGGTCCTTGCGCTTGCAAGGCAGGCAGCATAGCCACTGAGCTAAATCCCCGGCCCCTCTTATTTTATACTTTGAGACAGGGTCTCACTAAATTACTGAGTTGTCCAGGCTGGGTTTGAACTTGCGATCCTTCTGCCTCAGCCTCCTGAGTACTAACTAGGACTACAGGTGTGCGCCACCATGCCCAGCTTCCTTTCTTGCTTTCAACTTCAATTCATTCTCCAAAGAGAAACAAAATACAATAGGTGGAACCTTATTCTCATCTTCATACCTTTACCCAAACACTAGGCTCTTTCTCATCTAGCTTCTGCCTTC